AATGATTTACACCTTTAACTAATAATTAACTGTTAAAATCTATAAACAGCACTACGGTGATCGTATTGTTCATCTTTTACGGGAGGAAGGGAGAAAGGAGGAAGGCAATCTTTAAATTAGGCTTTAGGCGCCAACAAAATTCGCATACGAGTCCCGGGGACTCAGGTGTCGAATTAAAGGTTAAGTTAATTTACTTTTAAAAATTTAGATATTTAAAATGTAAGGTAATCAATTTTAACAGTTAATTATTAGATAAAGGTGTAAATCATTATTTGTTTTGCATTTAACTAAAGTTCTTTCTTATAAAAAACGTTTAAACATAAAGAATTCTTGTTAAAAACTAAAAATCAAAATAAATATAGATAAAAAAATTAATTAATCAATTAATAAAAATAATAAATTATTATTTTCAATCGTTTCCCCAAATTGCGTCAAACAAAAGCCAAGTCCGTCATAAAATTGTATCTGGGGAAGGGCGTTCGGGTTCACTCGGGTTTACTCGAGTGTCTACAAACAAAGAGAGATGGCTGCAGTAAAAATTAATTTATAAATGCGCCCGTCGTCTTTTATAAAATAATTTTTTTTTATAAAATAATTTTTTTTTATAAAATATTTTTTTTTATAAAATAATTTTTTTTAATAAAATAATTTTTTTATAAAATAATTTTTTTTATAAAATAATTTTTTTATAAAATATTTTTTTTTATAAAATTAATTTCTGCGAATCAAAAGTAATAATAATTTTATAAAGCATATAATTAATTATTTATAAAACAAAATAAGTTTATTTAGCACTTTTAATTTTGACACAAACGGCGCCTCATAGTTTTTAGACATTCTAAAATATTTTTTGACAATTCTAAACATTTTTAAATATGTTTTAAGACATTCTTAAATATCTTTTGACAATGACCTTTTTAAAATATATTTTGGCAAAAAAATTATGTAAAGAATGTTCACAATGTTCTTAACTATGTTTTTAGACATTTTAAAATATATTTTGACTCTTTAATATGTTTTTAAAATTCTTGAATGTATTTTTAGTAGAATTATTAAAGAATGTCCAAAATACTTGTTGTTTTGTTTTCAGACATTCTAAAATATATTTTGGCACTCTTAAATATATTTTTTTAACATTCTTAAATTTATTTTTGGAAAAATATTAAAGAATGTCTAAAATTTTCTTAAATATGTTTTTAGTCATTCTAAAATATATTTTGACACTCTTAAATATATGTTTTTAAAGCTCTTAAATGTATTTTTGGTAAAAATATTAAAGAATGTCCAAAAGATTCTTAAATATGTTTTTATACCTACATTCTTAAATATCTTTTGACATTAACCTTAAATATCTTTTGGCAATGACTTTTCTAAATATATGTCTTTAACATTCTTAAATGTATTTTTGGCAAAAATATTAAAGAATGTTCAAAAGATTCTTAAATATGTGTTTAGACATTCTAAAATATCTTTTGACATTCTCAAATATATGCTTTAAATATTCTTAAATGTATTTTTAGAAAAATATTAAAGAATGTCCAAAATATTCTTATTTTTTTTGGTATGAGTATGAGTATAAGAGACGTATAACCAGCCCCATTTCCTCTTGACTCTCGAACCCCGTACAGGCCTATGTTTACTTACGCCGATTTTTGTTCTTCCCCAGCAACTGCACGGCTTCACCCGTGTTTGCTGGGTGCGAATGTCCATTGCGTTCCGTACTGTCCCCTATTTGGGGCTCGAGAGCGAGAGGCGAATAGTTATAATAGCCATTCCCGGGTTCGCCGAGCCTATGCTATACGCTCGGTGGGGTATGGATGAGGGACGGGAGGGAGTTGGTTTTTCGGGGACAATTACGCCGACTTAAAACTAAGTACGACGCGGAATCCACCTAGACCAGTCGATTAGTAATACTCCAAACATTTGGGATTACTATTTGGAGTTGGGGAGTTGTTATTTCGCTGCAGGGGTGTAGTTTCCTAGTCAAGGTCTTTGTCTTGTTCGTTATTGTCATTGTCCGTGTTCTGGTCAGATAGTTCCTGCCCTTGGTAAAGTGTGTCAGTTGTTATTAATATTTTTGTCCCAAGCACATTTTGTGGTAGAGTTCCGTCTTTGTTTATCAAATTCCAAAGCTTGCATTTATTCACTAGTCAAACAAATCACAAGCGCGATTATTCTGTTGTCTAATGTTTACAAATCTCGAGTTTGGCTATTAGGCCCTTTTTTTTAATGTGTTAGAATTATGTGTTCAATGTTAGTTTACTCTGTCAGTCCAGTGTTTATTTCGGTCTCGATTGGGACCGCCTTACGCATTTGCTGTTGACAGACTTATTGCCCCACGCCGCGTGCCCTTCATGGGTTTTAAAGATATCCCAATAAACACTTTAACGATACCTAACACCATTAACATTGCCCGTGTAAGAATTTTTAACACTTTCTAATACAATTTTGCAATGATAGTAATTAAAAACAAAACAATTGTTTAAAGTTCTTAACATAATCATATTTTAAAGTTATTTTAACATTTTCAAGTAAAATAAATGTTATGTTTAATGAAATGAATACGGGCAATGTTAATGGTGACAAATAACGGAAAATGCTTGCCGTATTTATATTGCAGATTTGTATCAGGTCATGCATACTCTTAAAGTAAAACTTATCAGATTTTTCCCTTTGCGGATGGCCACCTCCCCTCTTCTCCGACCTCCCCCGTCCGTCCAGTGAAAAGCCTCCAATGACAGGTGGCACCCAAGTCATTCATATTACCCAACACTCCACTCCTCAATGACCGTTACACCATTTAGCTTGCACTCCATGAAAATGTTTGTTTCACTTATCAGTTCGCACCCCTTTTTTTTTAATTATTGTTGGTTTCATCTTTAAACTTTTACGTTTCAAGAGCTCGCCCGCGTGACGCGACTCGTCTTCTCGAGAGCTGGAGCCGAACTGAAATATTCTTATTTTTTTTGGATACTATAAATTATCTTTTACAGTCTTGAATACATTTTTGTAACATTCTAAAATTTATTTTTTGCAAAAATACTAGAGAATGTCTAAAATATTCTTACATATGTTTTAGCTATTCTTAAATATCTTTTGACTTTTAAATATATGTTTTAACTAAAATATGCTTATATGTTTTTAGTCATTCTTAAATATCTTTTGACACTTCTAAATATAACTGTTTTTAACATTCTTAAATTTATTTTTGGAAAACTATTAAAGAATGTCCAAAATATTCTTAGAATATGTTTTTAGACATTCTTAAATTTATTTTTGGCAAAAATATTAAAGAATGTCCAAAATTTTCTTAAATATTTTTTAGATATATTAAAATATCTTTTGACACTCTTAAATAAATCTTTTTAACATTCTTAAATTTATTTTTGGCAAAAATATTAAAGAATGCCTAAAATATTCTTACATATGTTCTTACCCATTCTTAATAGTATATTATGTATCAAGTTTTATAAACGCCATTTTAGTTACGAGTTTTATTAAGCACGAGCGAAGCTTGCAAGCGAGTGTTTAATAAAAACGAGTGTCTAGATAAGTTTATAGAACGAGTTGCATACTATACTTTATCTACGACGACCAAAAAGAAGAATTTAAATCCAATTTTATTTGTTAAACATTTGACATCTGTCAAATGTCAACGGAATTAACCTCACTTTTCTCTAATTTATAATAAAGCTAACTTCAGCCCGTGACTAAAATGCCCAAAAGCCACTGTTGTTAACTTCAGCCCGTGACTAAAACGCCATAAAGTCACAGCTGGTCAATTTAGGAGTAGATAAATATTTTTTGACACTTCTAAATTACAAACAAATTGTATTTTTTATGTTTTGAAAAAGTTTTAAGCAAAAAAGTCTTGATATTTTTAGGTGGTTTTGACATTTTTCTTGGGTTAACATTTGTTTATTTTATGTAGTTTTACATTCTTAAAATTGTTTTTAGCATTTCATTATGTTTATTATAAAACAAACAAATTAAAAAGAAATTGTATTTTTTGTGTTTTTAAAACCAAAAATCGTTTTAACTTTGTTCTGTTGTTTTTCATATGACCTCCATATTGGAATTTTACATGGTTAGATAAAAAATTCAACAATGTATCAAACTACATATTATAAAAACAAAAGATAGTGATGGTAACTTAAAATATAGTAGCAAATGAATTGGATAAAAAAAGTTTTGTGTTTTTTCAAATATATTGAGAACACTTGTTTTTTTTTAATTTATAAATTTCATTTTAATAAATGTAATTAGGAAAATTTTTCTAATTTAACCAACAATGTAGCCCTTTAAATAATAGACAATTTTAGTAAAAGGTTATCGACTGATATCTTTCTGCCTCAGGCAATTTTATATTGATTATATTGATTTTGTAACAACTAAAAGACTAAAACTACAAAATGTTTATTTTTATACAAAAAAACACATTTAGCCTACATACCTTAATAATAATCAAAATTTGCCCAAATAAAATGTACCCAGATTGAGTTAAACAGGAAAAGAAGGAATTAATTTTCCCAAGAGAAAATTAAAAATATACAGAAAACTAATTTTCTCATAGTTATTTAATTTTTTTTCAATCTCAATTTGGTAACTAGCTAGTTATATTTAGTTTATTTTCAAGCTTAAATTGGCATAATTAAAACAGTTATATCTAGCTTAAGTTGGCATTCTTAATACAGTTAATTTTAGCTGAAATTGACAGCAGGCATTCTTAAGACAGCTATGTCGAGCTTAATTTGATCTTAAGACAGTTAAATTCCATCTTAAATAAGTACTTATTATTTCTATATTATTTTTTATTTTATTGTGTTACTTAATAATTTTAAAACACCTACTGCAAAAAAAATTAATGTTTCAAACCCTAACCCCCATGTACTGCAAACATTAAATACCTACCACAAAATGATGTTTTAAATCATAGTTATAAACTTTACAATGTGGGGTTATAGGAGTGAGGTTATTGGGGTTATTTCGTAGTACTTTACCTTTAAAAAACTTGAGCCGCCCGCCCTGCACGTAAGTGTTCTTGTGGCACTCCTCTTTGATGTTGCCTGTGGAGTTGCCATTCATGCCAAGTGTAGCTTCATGTTCCTCCTTCATTTTGTTGGTACATTTTGCCTGAATGGGGTTGATTTGGTCGCAAATAGGCATCTCATAGCGGGGCCCAGGCCCATACTTCGCCGAAATGCACCATTACGCCACTGTACCGCAAAAGCTATCCACCTGCTGTTTCACAAGCCCGCACTGTACCTATGCTCGCTGCTAATTTCCCGCACAAGCCGAGTTTCTCTTTGCATTTTAACAAACCACCTTTCCGCATCCTCTCCACATCGTTGCAACGCTATTTCGTTAACTTAACGTAACCAACTCGCTCTCTCTACGTCCCGTGCTCAAAATTTTGATGATGTTGATGATGGACTCGGTCGGTCTCAGGAAAAGTTCATTCACCGAACTTTACATCCCACTTTACGCGCTTCTTAAACCACAAAACACCGCAAAACCCACATCAATCGCTTTATTACATCCACAATCACTAATTTTTACATTAACACTGAAAAAATTAACAATAAAGTGTTTATTATTATTGTTTATAACAATTTATTTCAAACTTCCCGCCACACTCTACTTTACCGATACATAATTAGACAGATCGCCATTTATTCACTTTAAACTTCAACCGCACACGCATAGATGACACCACCATTCAAAAACAACATTCTAAAATATAACCGTTTATCTATTCTAATCAAATAATTTTTATTGAAAAACACTTTTAAACAGTTTTGAATATTAAAAGTGGTAAATCTTTATGGTTTATGTTGTTGTTCCATTGAATATTTTCCTTAAAAACCGTTTAAATTTCTTGACATACCTCGGCCGGTAATGTAGGTCTCCCAACAATAACAATCACTTTGACAGTACCGCTTGTAGTGAATGTGTGATTCAGTGTCCTAATTTTCGTAAAAATACCCAAATCTATTGAAAATATCGCTACAAAAACGTCCCATACCTAATTTTCGAATTAGGTGACAGTTTTACGACACCCAGTGCAGTGCCCGAGCAGATTAATAAAAGCGTTTGGAATGGCGGCGTTAAAATCGAAAAATGCTGCTTTCGAAGATTTATCGAATGTGGAATTCGAAACTAGCGAAGATGTCGATGTTATTGACAAATTCAAACACATGAATTTAAAGGAGGAACTCGTCAGAGGAATTTTCGCATATGGTAAGTAACTGTAAAAATAAAGTGGGTCGTAGTAACATAACCTCAATTTGATCTACTTTTACTCACACAGATACGCTTTTACTGTCTGGCTAATGCCAGAACTAAATTAGTTTAGGTATTTCTGCTAAAAACTTCCAAAAAAGTTCATAGTAGTATTTTTCAAACTGACTAGCTTAAGTTGACATTCTTAAGACAGTTATATCTGGCTTAAATATAGACATTCTTAAGACAGTTATCTAGCTAAATTTAATATTCTTGAGACAGTCATATTTAGCTTAAATTAACATTCTTTATACATTTTAAGATAGTTATTTAACTTAAGCTCTTTAAGATAGTTTTATCTGCTTAATTGACATTCTTAAGACAACTATAGCTGAATTGAATTGACTAACTACTCACAGAGACACGCTTTTACTATATTAAGCTAATGCCAGAACTAAATTAGTTTGTTTATGCTAAAAATTTCCAAAAAAGTTCATAGTAGTATTTTTTAAACTGACTAGCTTAAGTTGACATTCTTAAGGCAGTTATATCTGGCTTAAGTATAGACATTCTTAAGACAGTTATCTAGCTTGAGACAGTAATATTTAGCTTAAATTAACATTCTTTATACATTTTAAGATAGTTACCTATTTAGCTTGTTCTTTAAGACAGTTATATCTAATATATGAATGAAAACAACACTGTTTTAAAGTTTCACTAATTTATTTATGTTTTTAATAATTAACAATTGTTTCGCTACACTGTAGCTTCTTCAGAATTCTGAAGAAGCTACAGTGTAGCGAAACAATTGTTAATTATTAAAAACATAAATAAATTAGTGAAACTTTAAAACAGTGTTGTTTTCATTCATATATTAATAATATGGAGTTTCATCAAGTAAAGGTCGAAACAATCAACAGTTATATCTGCTTGATTGACATTCTTAAGACAACTACTCACAGAAATAGGCTTTTACTGTATATTAAGCTAATGCCAGAACTAAATTGGTTAATTTGTGCTAAAACTTTCCAAAAAAGTTCATAGTAGTATTTTTCAAACTGACCAGCTTAACTTGACATTCTTAAGACAGTTATCTAGCTTAATTTAATATTCTGGAGACAGTCATACTTAGCTTAAATTAACATTCTTTATACATTTTAAGATAGTTATCTAGCTTAAGTTCTTTAAGACAGTTATATCTGCTTAATTGACATTCTTAAGACAACTACAGCTGAATTGAATTGACTAACCAACTACTCACATACGCTTTTACTGAATATTAAGCTAATGCAAGAACCAAATTAGTTTATTTGTTCTTAAAATTTCCAAAAAAGTTCATAGTAGTATTTTTCAAACCGACTAGCTTAAGTTGACATTCTTAAGACAGTTATATCTGGCTTAAGTATATACATTCTTAAGACAGTTATCTAGCTTAATTTAATATTCTTAAGACAGTCATACTTAGCTTAGATAAACATTCTTTATACATTTTTAGATAGTTATCTTTAAGACAGTTATATCTGTTTAATTAACATTCTTAGAACAACTATAGCTGAATTGAATTGACTAACCAACTACTCACATACGCTTTTACTGTATATTAAGCTAATGCCAGAAATAAATTAGTTTATTTATGCTTAAAATTTCCAAAAAAGTTTATAGTGGTATTTTTCAAACCACCTAGCTAGCTTAAGTTGACATTCTTAAGACAGTTATATCTGGCTCAAGTATAGACATTCTTAAGACAGTTATCTAGCTTGTTCTTTAAGACAGTTATATCTGCTTAATTGACATTCTTAAGACAGCTATAGCTGAATTGAATTGACTGATCTTTAAGTATGTAAAATAATGGTGATGTATTAATTATTATAAAAAATAGAGTATGTATTTACTATGTATGTTTATAGTTAGCCATATAAATATACATTTTACACAAATAAATATTTTAGGCTTTGAGAAGCCTTCAGCTATCCAACAAAGAGCCATAAAGCCCATAATGAAGGGCAGAGATGTTATAGCACAGGCTCAATCTGGTACAGGTAAAACAGCCACATTCTCCATTGCGATTTTGCAACATTTAGACTTGACGATGCGCGAAACGCAAGTGATGTGTTTATCGCCTACAAGAGAACTTGCTGTGCAAATCCAGAAGGTTATTTTGGCCCTGGGCGATTTTATGAACGTGCAATGTCACGCCTGCATCGGTGGTACGAATTTAGGGGAGGATATTCGCAAGTTGGATTACGGACAACATGTTGTCAGCGGAACGCCCGGTAGGGTGTATGGTGGGTTGTCTAAAGCTTAAAATTGAATTGCGGTGTGATAAAAATGACCATTTTTGTAGATATGATACGTAGAAGGGCTCTACGTACGAGATCCGTGAGGATGTTGGTTCTCGATGAAGCCGACGAGATGTTAAATAAGGGTTTCAAGGAGCAAATTTACGATGTTTATAGATTTTTGCCGCCATCCACTCAAGTGGTGCTTATTTCCGCTACTTTGCCTCACGAGATTTTGGAAATTACCTCAAAATTCATGACAGATCCTATTCGTATCTTAGTTAAACGGTAAGAAATCTATATTTTTTTAACATTAATATATTTTTTTAAATATTTAAAAATGTCAAAAGTATTCTTATTTTTGTCACATTCTTAAATATCTTTTGACACTGACCTTTCTAAATATATTTAACATTCCTTAATTTTTTTTTGGTAAAAACATTAAGGAATGTCCAAAACATTCTTAAATATGTTTTTACACATTTTTAAATATATTTTTGGCAAAAATATTAAAGAATGTCCAAAATATTCTTAAATATTTTTTAGATATTCTGAAATATATTTTGACATATTTTATTATATGTTTCTTAACAATTCTTAAATTTATTTTTGGCAAAAATATTACAGAATGTCTAAAATATTCTTACATATGTTTCTAGACATTCTAAAATATATTTTGGCACTCTTAAATATATTTTTTTAACATTCTTAAATTTATTTTGGACAAAAATGTCTAAAATTTTGTTAAATATGTTTTTAGATATTCTAAAATATCTTTTGACACTCTTAAATATATGTTATGTTTTTAAGATACTTAATTGCATTTTTCGCAAAAATATTAAAAAATGTCCAAAATATTCTTAAATATGTTTTTAGACATCTTAAATATTTTTGACATTGAGCTTAAATTCTTTTGACAATGAATTATCTAAATATAAGTCTTTAACATTCTTAAATTTATTTTTGAAATAATATTAAAGAATGTACAAAATATTCTTAAATATGTTTTTAGACATTCTTAAATTTATTTTTGGCAAAAATATTAAAGAATGCCCAAAATATTCTTAAATATTTTTTAGGTATTCTAAAATATATTTTGACACTCTTTAATATATGTTTTTAAGATTCTTGAATGTATTTTTAGTAGAATTATTAAAGAATGTCCAAAATACTTTTAAATGTTTTCAGACATTCTTAAATTTATTTTTGGAAAAAATATTAAAGAATGTCTAAAATTTTCTTAAATATGTTTTTAGACATTCTAAAATATATTTTGACACTCTTAAATATATGTTTTTAAAGTTCTTAAATGTATTTTTGGTAAAAATATTAAAGAATGTCCAAAAGATTCTTAACTATGTTTTTAGACATTCTTAAATATCTTTTGACATTGACCTTAAATATCTTTTGACAAAGACCTTTCTAAATATATGTCTTTAACATTCTTAAATGTAATTTTGGCAAAAATATAAAATAATATTCAAAAGATTCTTAAATATGTTTTTAGACATTCTAAAATATCTTTTGAAATTCTCAAATATATGCTTTTAATATTCTTACATTTATTTTTGGCAAAAATATTAAAAAATGTCCAAATTTATTTTTGGCAAAAACATTAAAGAATGTCCAAAATATTCTTAAACACTTATGTTTTTAGACATTCTAAATTTTTTTTGACATTTTTAAATATTTGTTTTAAACATTTTTAAATGTTTTTAGACATTCTTAAATATTTTTTGATAATGGCATTTCAAAATATATCTTTAATATTCCTATAACTTTTGGCAAAAATATTAAAGAATGTAAAATATTCTTTAGACATTCTAAAATAATTTTGACACTCTTAAATATATGTTTTTAAAATTCTTAAATGGAGTTTTGTCAAAAATATTAAAGAATGTCCAAAATATTCTTAAATATGTTTTTAGACTTTCTAAAATATTTTTTAGATATTCTAAATATCTTTTGACATTGACCTTAAATATCTTTTGACAATGAATTTTGTAAATATTCTAATATAAGTCTTTAACATTCTTTAATGTATTTTTAACAAAAATATTTAAGAATGTCCAAATGTGTTTTTGGAGAAAATATTTAAGAATGTCAAATATATTTTTGCCTTAAGTGGTATTTTCACATTAAATTACTTAAGAATGTCAAAAAATATTACCATGGAATTTAAAAAACATGTAAGCTTGCCAAAGACTTGTTTTTTTACTATTGATCACCAACATTTTTTAGTGATGAGTTGACTTTGGAGGGCATAAAACAATTTTTCGTCGCGGTTGAACGCGAAGAGTGGAAGTTCGATACTCTTTGCGACTTGTACGACACTCTAACGATCACCCAAGCGGTCATCTTCTGCAACACCAAGCGGAAGGTGGACTGGCTGACGGAAAAGATGCGCGAAAGCAATTTTACGGTGAGCTCCATGCACGGCGACATGCCTCAAAAGGAGAGGGACAACATAATGAAGGAGTTTCGGTCGGGGCAGAGCCGAGTTCTCATCACCACCGACGTCTGGGCGCGGGGCATAGACGTGCAACAGGTGTCGCTGGTGATCAACTACGATCTTCCCAACAACCGCGAGCTGTACATCCACAGGATTGGTAGGTCGGGTAGGTTCGGGCGTAAAGGTGTGGCGATAAACTTCGTTAAGTCCGACGACATCAGGATTTTGCGGGACATCGAGCAGTATTACTCGACGCAGATTGATGAGATGCCCATGAACGTGGCCGATTTGATTTAAGTAGGCTTCGCTAGTTGTAATTTATTTTTTTATCCATGGATGCAGTTTATTTGACGTTTGATTTTCTGTTTGATGCTTGAATAGTACAGTCATCAAAACAGGATTTATTTAGGATTTTTAGGTCTCACACATAACAAAGATGTATTACTTTTGTAAATAAAATCTTTTTACTAAAATTATGACTTTTATTGAGTTTGCTAATAAGTTACAACAGGTTTGTTAAAAGTACTTCCAGGGAATTTTCCATAAAAAAGTTTTAAAAAGGTAAAGTTACAATTTTAAGAAACATGTCTGAAATATGGTAAAGGTAAAAAAACTATTACTAAACTGATCGAAAAAAGTTAAGGATATTGTTAATTCTCTAAGAAAAAAATAGTTTTCAAAAAAATTTGTATAACGTACATTTACTGTCATCTCTTTTAGAAATAAAACAAATTTGTTTAACTGAAAAAATTCTTTAATTAAAATTTACGGGCAACTTTCCTCTTACAATGTAACAAAACAGATAATTATAAAAAAGAAAAAAATGATTAATAGCGTGTAATTCCACCTCTGTTGGCTATTACTGCTTCAACTCGGCGAGGGATGCTTAAAATTAAACGATCCAAGTCATTTTGATCCAAGGTGTCCCATAAATATGGAAGAACTTGCCTCAACGACCTTACGTCCTGAACAGGAGGTTGATGGGCAATTGGTGCCCTTCCGAGCATGTCCCAACCATGTTCGATGCAGTTTAAATCTGGAGAGAGCGGGGGTAATGGCAAATGATTAATTTCATGGAATACTAGCTGTTCTTGTACTACCCTGGCTCTGTGCGGGCGAGCGTTATCATCCAGAAATCTGAAATTGGGCTCCAAATTCCAACGATAATCATCCACAATGTTATCAATGATGTCGCGAGCATAAATTTCACCTGTCATAGTACCTTCACTTCTTGAACATACCGGTCATTAACTCTTGAATTTATTGGTCCCCAGACAAAAACTGTAATTCTGTCAGCACGAAGACAAAAGCGGCTTTCATCGCTGAACATCACAGTATACCACTCATCCAGTTGGCTCTTTCATTACACCAAAGCAAACGTTGAGCTCTAGGGACTCAATGAAGGGCGTCCTATAGGCCTATATCAATGTAAACCTGCTTTATTTAATCGATTTAAAACCGCCCTAGGGGTAATACAAACTCTATTGGCAGCGAAAAGGTCCTGGCTGAGGAACGTGCAGTCTAGAAAAAATGTGGTATAGCTATTATTACCTATGACGTTTATGTTTAAGAAAATATTGCTTGCAAACATATAAAATTGTACCCAAACAGATAAAAAGCATTTTATCACAAAAAATGTAGTTTTTTGTACAGTTTAGTTTTGTTTGTGTGTTGCTAAGCGCAATGTGGTCTGTGTGGTTATTCTGTCATCGACAATATGAATAGACGTTATTTAACGGTAGAAGAGGCAAATCAAGCCATTGGATTGCTTCTTGGAGGTGCGCGACAGATCGGTATAATGTTTCTCAAAGTGTAGTTTCCCGACTTAGTAACCGATTTAATGAAACTGGATCTGTCCTGGAAAGGCATAGGGAGGGTAGACCAAGATAGACAAATGCTAGGGAAGGCCGAAGATTAGTGAGAGGAGCTAGGATGGATCCTACAAGAAACTGCAGTGCATGCACGTTTCTCAGCCAGGACCTTTTCGCTGCCAATAGAGTTCGTATTACCCCTAGGACGGTTTTAAATCGATTAAATGAAGCAGGTTTACATTGCTATAGGCCTATAAGACGCCCTCCATTGACCGCAGTTCATAGAACTCAACGTTTGCTTTGGTGTAATGAAAGAACCAACTGGAATGATGAGTGGCGTACTGTGATGTTCAGCGATGAAAGCCGCTTTTGTCTTCGTCCTGACAGACGTACAGTTCGTGTCTGGAGACCAAGAAATTCAAGAGCTAATGACCGGTATGTTCAAGAAGTGCATCCATTTGGAGGTGGAGGTGTAATGGTCTGGGGTGGAATTTTCTACGGAGGTCGAACGGAGTTGTATGTTTGTGAAGGTACCATGACCGGTGAAATTTATGCTCGCGACATCATTGACTACATTGTGGATGATTATCGTTGGAATTTGGAGCCCAATTTCAGATTTCTGGATGATAACGCTCGCCCGCACAGAGCCAGGGTAGTACATGAACGGCTAGCATTCCATGAAATTAATCATTTGCCATTACCCCCGCTCTCTCCAGATTTAAACTGCATCGAGCATGGTTGGGACATGCTCGGAAGGGCACTAATTGCCCATCAACCTCCTGTTCAGGACGTAAGGTCGTTGAGGCAAGTTCTTCCATATTTATGGGATTCATTGGATCAAAATGAGTTGGATCGTTTAATTTTAAGCATGCCTCGCCGAGTTGAAGCAGTAATAGCCAACAGAGGTGGAATTACACGCTATTAATCATTTTTTCTCTTTTATAATTATCTGTTTTGTTACATTGTTAGAGAAAAGTTGCCCGTAAATTTTAATTAAAGAATTTTTTCAGTTCAACAAATGTGTTTTATTTCTAAAAGAGATGACAGTAAATGTACGTTATACAAATTTTTTTGAAAACCATTTTTTTCTCAGAGAATTCACAATATCCTTAACTTTTTTCGATTTTTTATTCTATCATAATAAGGGATTTTTGCGGTGTTGTCAAGTTTCTAAAAATCCCAGAAATTGGAAAATTTTTAGAATCTTTGGGATACCTTGCACTATTTAGCAGTGTTGTCAAATTTTAAACTTTTTTATTTTAAACTTCCATTCTTTTTTCTAAAAAAAATTTTTACGGCTTTGGTTTTTTATATTTTAAAAAAAATGTCCAGAACCTAGAAATTCTTTCCAAATATCCAAAAATTCACTGAATTATTTTTTTTTTGCTTTTTTAAATATTTTCTTGAAATACCCAGAACCTAGGAATTTTTGCGACGTTGCCAAATTTTCAGAATAATGGATTTTTGCGGTGTTGTCAAGTTTCTAAAAATCACACTCTATACTTTTTTTTATTTAAAAATCCACATTTTTTGCAACGTTAGATATTTCCAAATTAATACAGAATATTTTTGCAAGACCTTCCAGGAGCCAGAAATTCTTTTGCGACGTTTCCAAATATCCAAAAATTCACAGAATCTGGGCCTTTTATTTTTGTTTTTTGCTTTTTAATTTTTTTTTATCTAGGTCTTTTATTTTTGTTTTTTGCGATTTTGCCAAAGTTTTTTTACAATTTATACACAATTATTTTTTATTTTTTTCCAAAGCCACTTTTCCAAATATTCAAAAATTCACAGAATCTGTCCTTTTAATTTTGTTTTTTGCTTTTTTAATTTTCTAAATATATTTTTTAATTTTTTTTATACAAGAACCTAGGAATTTTTGCGACGTTGCCAAATTTTCAGGATAAGGGATTTTTGCGGTGTTGTCAAGTTTTTAAAAATCCCAATTTTATATAAAATTCAGAATCTGGGATTTTTTGCGGCTTTGGTTTTTTATATTGAAATTACGACGTTTCCAATTATCCAAAACTGACAGAATCTGGGCCTTTTATTTTTGTTTTTTTACTTTTTTAATTTATTAAACATTTCTTTTTATTTTTTTAATACCCAGAAAGTTTTTGCCAATTTTACTAAAAATCCCACAATCTGAGTTTCTTTAAAGTCACCTTGCACAATTTCGCAGTGTTGCCAAATTTATATGTACTTTTTTGCTTTTTATTTTTAAACGTTACAAATTTTCAAACATTTTTAGATTTTGAGATTTTTTAGTTTTTTTATATTAAAAAAAATCAAGACCAGCCACAAATTTTTGAAAATTCCCAGAACCTGGGAATTTTTAAAAATCTCTTGGAAAAATTTAGTATATATTTAAGTCATCTTGCACAACTATGGCAACCATGTTCTTCGATATTAAAGCAAATTTTGCTGTTATTTATGAGAAGTTAACATTTTTAACATTTGAATTCTATTCAGGGCTTTTTTATACAATTCATTTTGAACAAGTAATAATTCTCAAAAATTTGTGCTGACAAAAAAATCTCTTTCCTGAATATAAAAATCAGTTTATAATTTTTATATTATAATAACTTTATATTATAATACCCTGTACATAAATATTTGACACAAATGTCAAGTATGGGGTTAAAAATTAATACACCTTTATTGTCATTTAAAATAAAATAATTTTAAGCACGCTATAAAAAATTGACTGAACTCTCGCGACACTAACTCGGTAATTCTATTTTAAAATTAATATATCCCGTCCCCTCTCAACAGAGCATTTTCACTCCAATTTAGTAATTGAGGCATTTTGAACATTAATTCAATACATCTTCGAAGCTCTCGAGTTATGGCGAGCCACCAGACGCAGGGCATCCAACAGCTCTTGGCTGCGGAAAAAAGGGCAGCAGAAAAGGTTGCCGAAGCCAGAAAACGTAAGTCAAGTTATTCTTGGTTTAGCTGGGATAATTATAGATTATTTCAACAATTTAAAATCATAATACGTCGCGATATTGTGGTGTCAAGTTTTTTAGTTTTTATATTATTTAATTGGTGCAATTTAAGTTAATTTATAGGATGCATCCTACATAGTTTATTACTGCTGTATTTGTACTCAATGCGTTGTTACAGCAAGCTGAGACTTTCTTGGAACCAAAAAGGAGAATTTCTTTTAAAGTCTATTTTTGCACCGATTATTAAACCTAAAGGTTTTATTATAATTGCTTTAAAGAGGTTGTCACAGCTTTTATAAATCCTCCTCTGACACCTCTATAAAGCTAAATGGTAGTTAAGTAATTTTATGGTGTCCATAGACAAAAATTTTAATAAAGCAAGTTGCAAGTAAGCGTATTCTTTTTAAACATTTTTGCCGTAGTATAAACAATATTGCTTTAGTTAAGAAAACTATATTCAACCAAAGTCTAAACTTTTATTATGTATTTTGAAATAACATTTTAGCAATTAAAGTTTCTTATTCTCTACGTTTTTAGTTGTTTCATCTAAATTGTAAAATTAGTACAGGTTAGCGTATAGGATAACGATTTTAATTAAAGTCAATGAAATACTTCTTAAAAACAAATTTTGCAACAATTCATCATTATTGTTTATATGGTATTACCATTGATTAAAGAATGAGAAGATGAGCAACCGGATGAGATTATCTGTGCCAAGCGTTATAATAGAAAATAAAGGAAAATTTATCGGTAAGGTGTCGCCATCTACCCAACATTGTTTTAAGTTTGGGAATGAGGGGTTTCGGTCATCTATGGGTTTCGTATCACCTAATTATTAATTAATTAATTATCTACCTACTTTGTTAATTATTATTTAGGTAATTATCATTTAAAAGTAAAATTCTATTCTAAAAAAATATGCCTGTATCTCTAAAACTTGTGAAATTTATATAATATAATATATGGGTAATTCTACAAAAGTTGGACAACTTGATGTCATCAGTCAATAGAGTAGGTATTTTAATATTTTTTGTAAATATTTTAGTATTTTACTAAAGATCCAGGATTTTTTTAACTTGTCCACCCAATTTTAATGTATTTTTTCAAAAGCACGTTTGTAGAAAAACATAATAAATATTCAAAACAGTACCTACCTTGGCGTGTCACAACTCCTGAATCAAATATTTGAGTGATTTTATTTTAAAATATATTCAATTTATCTTAAATTTTTCAATTTCACTACAAACTATTAAACATTAAATAATGTATTTTTCATATTTTATCATAGATTCGAATAATAGCAATTTTTAAAAAATTGATAATCTTTGTACTCACTTTTACCTGTCAGTTCTGTGTCCAATATTCAAAATTCCTGCGAAATATTGAAGTTTAAACGTCGTCCTCGTTTTAACTCAAGTGTTCGTAAAAAAATTACCTACAGAGCCCGCCCTTTGCACGACAGTCATCTTGAAAATAATGCAAGCGGCGAAGTTGTGGTGAATGCACGTATAGTTCCAGTCAAAATTTATTTTATTATTATTTTCTTACGTATATATATTTAATTGTAATTTATATAAGGCTATATGTGATTTGTTGATAAGTAGCATCCACTAATAAAAAATATCAGTAAAATACTTAATTCCGAATTATAATCTCAAATTTGTTCCATTGTAGAGAATTTAATTTTATATAAAAATAAGTAAAAAGGAATTTTTTTCACTTTAATGTTTTGACAGTTCCAACGTAAAACATCAAATTATGACTAAAAATCAAAAATAGCGATGATAGACCTCTTAAAATTAATATTAAGGGCTCAAATTTTCACAAAATTTTGTTTTGTCATTCTGAATGACATTCTCGATATATTTTTCAAAAAAAAATAGTCAATTTTTTTGGCCCAGTCTAATAAATATAATATTTGAAGAGATATTAAAAAATTTAAAAATCCAGCTTGCATGGTTAAAAAAAGTTATTTTAGTAAAAAAAATTGTCAAAAATTAAAAAACAAAAAAGCATCGGTAAAATTGATATAACGTTGATTTTTCCAATGTCACCTTGTTGTATATTTTTGAACATTTATAGAGTTAGGTTGCAAGAATTAGTTTTGTTATTAAAAATGCTTTGCTAAAATGATTTAAACAAAAACATATCCATATATTATATGTTATAAAACATCTTTTAAAAGTGCGATAGAGTTTTGATGTAGCAGTTAGCAGCAGTGGTTTTCGAGGTTAAAATTGTAATTTGAATGGAATTTTAGGCAAGACGAAAAGAATAAAGCAGGCGCGGGATGAGGCCCAACAAGAAGTCGAATTGTATCGCAAGGAAAGGGAAAGATTGTTCAAGGAATACGAGGCAAAATACATGGGAAAGCGGGAAGATACGGCGGCAAAAATAGATCGTGAAACTGAGAAACAAATCGAACAACTTTCGGGGAACGTCCTTCAAAACAAGGATCAAGTAAGATTAAGGAGAGTAATTTGATTTTGTTTTATTACATTGTTTTTTTATTAGTTAATTCAAGATTTGATCGAGTTGGTGTGTGAAGTAAACCCTGAGGTACACCCAAATTTTCACATTATGAGGACATTTAACATGATTTAGATGTTATAATGACGTTATTTAGATGTTATATGGATGTTATATATATTTTAAACCACAAATAAAGTTACTTTAGTTTTCCTATTAATTTATTTCTCTTACAATAATTACAAAAATAAAATTCTACATGAATATTTTCTTCATTAGTAGATACATGTGTTGGTCTACTTCAAAACTGTGTAAATTATTAGCGTCCCCTTGTAGCCTCATCAGCAATCCCCCAAAGGAAACATACGCTGCTCTAAAAGAGAAGACAAATTTTAGTGATTTTTCAAAAATAATCTAAAGGTACATAATATTACATATATTAATATTTTTGTGTATTGTCGCTTTAACGATGAACATGATGGGAGTATGGATAGTAGTCGTGGAAAAAAAACACAACCAGCTAACCACACTGCCATCTTGTACACCGTTATCTACCATTGCTCCTTCCAGTTCTATAATAAATAATAACACCAATATAAAAGTTTAATACCAAACTAATGACATTTTGCTTCGTGGGGTAGGTGTAAAAATGTTTTTGAAGATGAATCTTTATTATTCAGTTAAATAATAATTCTAATGGTCAAGAGATTTTCTGATAGTATCTATATGCGTACAGATACAAATATCTTCTCAACGGTTAGAGTAATCAATAAAACACATTATACCTTTTTGTAGAGCGTTAAATTTCCTACAAAAATATGTCATACTCATTTGACAATAATTTTTTTTCAATGAGTTACAAAATTATTAATTTTTTTTTTTTAATGAATTCTTTAAACTTTGATCTTGAATATCTTTTAAATGGTTAGAGTAATCGCTCAAACACATTTGTACTTTTTTGTAGAGCATTCAATTTCCTACAAAAATGTGTACAAATATTTAATGAAACGATTAATTAATAATAAAATATGGTCTTTTTTATAAGGGACTAAAGAAAAAGTGGAAAACTGTGATCTTCCTATAAATATTAAGAGCACTTTCTAGAGATGCCCAAGAACCAATTTTTTTCTTACTGGTGGCACATTAGGAATTTCCGACACTGTATATGTAGTTAGGATTTGATACTGTTTCTCATACAATATTATTTTGTGTGATCCAATAAATTCTTCAGTAAAAAGACTAAATTTAATGTTTATAAAATACCACATATTATTTCTTGATTACTTAGATATACAAAAACTATAATTTTTAATACTTTCTTTTAAAATTAAATTTATAAAAAGTATAACTTAGTATAATGCTATTTTTTAGATCAGTAGTAAAAACCAAACTGTCTAGGACACTTTAATTTTGAAAGCATAAGGCAGCATACTCATAAGCCAAAAATTGTATGGCCTAATGCCAAATATGTATAGCAAGTTTTAATACCTTAATGTTAACAAAAATTGTATTGTTCTTTTTAATAAAATTGTTATATCCTCCACAATTAAAGAGTAACCGCATTAAATCTGTTTTTAAACTTTCCTTTAGGTAAATTCTCATCTTGAGCAGAGAATTTTAAATCCATATCGTTTTGTAACCAAAAGAATATTTATTTTTGATTATATTTCATTCAACTAGTTTTTCGTCAATATTTTAGAAACATATTAATTTTAATTATAAAATATGATTCAATAACAAATCTTCTATGGGATAATAAAAAATCCAAAATTTTTGTAGGCCAAAATGTTCCTAAATGATCAAATGTCAGGGAATGAAACGAGATTGATGATCATTTTTATTTTATTAACATAGGTACCTAATAATTATTTTGGGTAACATTTACAGTAATAATAATTAAATTCTAATATTATGTAATAATACAACATTCATAGTTTTTACTTCATAAAAAGTTCTCTACAATTTTTAAATAGAATGCAGCAAAATAGTAAATAACTTTTTATATTATAACACTAATTATTACATTAACTAATTATTATATTAACAAAGAATAGTGTCGAATATCGCTTAAATCATTGTAGGTAACTGTAACTACACATAACCTATTATGTTGCAATGTAGGTACAGAATTATTGAACGCTTAAAAAATAGTATATATAACACAAAAGCATATTACTTCCAGCTGTTATATAACGTACTATTTTTATTACAACCAAATAAATCTTACAATATTTAAATATTTTTCTTATTAAAGAAAATTTAACTTTTGTAGGTATGTATAAAGGTAGTATTTTAAGCGTTAATTTTTAAAATTTACAAAGAAAATCATATTTGCCAGTGGCGTGGATTACTTTATAAACAAATTAATTTTAAATAGAGGTTTCAACAGGAACAATAAAAATAAAAATTATATAATAAATTATCTTCATTATTATCTATATAGGTACTTAATAGTATATTAAAGAACTAATTTCATAAGACGTCTTTGTCAGGTCTTATGACATGAGTTATTTATGCTATTTTACATACAACAATTTCATTTAACTTATTTTAAGGCAGTAGGTCAAAATGTAAAATATAAAATTTACTATTTGACATTTTACTTATCAAATGGGTTTAGGACATGACGTCGAAAATCTATTACAGACTTAAAAATCTCGTGGATAAAACCTTAAAAATTATTTTAAAAATCGATAAACTCACAGTAGCGTGACGTCACGATGTTATACTGTACAAAATTGGCATAAAAGTTGTAGAAATCACCGATATATATATTTATACCTATAAGACAGCACTATCAAATTCATTCATAATTCTTGACACGACTGTTATAACATCGCTACGTCGCGCGCTCTATTCAAGGTCATCGAAACGCATGTCCCAACCCCATTGGCTAACACGTCAAAGCTCACTTGCGTTAGAAACCAAATTAAAAATAATTACAACAGTATTCTGCATTTTTTTTACTTTTTATTGCGGACGATTCTACCCGACGGGCTATCGTACCAGATAGTGCATTTACATAAAATTCATAGCCTGTGTAAACGCGCTTCTGGCACGGGGCCCGTCAAGTTAACGACATATAACCAAAAAAAAAAAGATGTGGAAAAGGCGGGAGCGAATCAGTGCTACCAACAACGTCCATCTAAAGCTCCTAAAACAACCAACAGAAAGAGTGTCAAATGCATTGCTGCAAAACTGTTCACACAAGCACACAAAGTTTAGTTGTCTAGAAATTTGGTTTGGATTAATTTATCTAAATACATAGACCAATTAGAATGTACATCATGTGCCAAAAACTATTATTACTCTTCTTGAAAACGACAAGACTTTTATTATTCAAATCAAACGACATACAAAGTTTAATAAATTATTGTTTTTTAAATGCATTTATTTTTAAATACCTACTTAATGAGTAGTACTCGTGCATAGATACAAGGATAGGTGAAAAATATGTTGGCAGTGTATTTTAAGTAGGTATGAATCACGGTATTATATAAATGAAAAAATTACTTCCACCAACGTATTTTCCCCCAAAATTAATTCAAATAAAAGCACAGAACACCACATTTCACATCCACGGCAAAAAATAAACCAACAAATAAAATCACTGCACTGTGCTCGTATAGGAGAGGCAGCAGAAAAAATTGACGTTCCAAAAAACAGCTGATTCGACAATCCAGGCAGGAGAGATACTGAAGCTAAATATAAAATTACAGTTCCACCAGTTTCGAACCCACTATGCATTATGCAAGTCGCTCCGTGCCAAAATATGCATTGCATTCTGGTCACCTTTAAAAAACAGTGCGGTAACAACAATTTAATTTTAATTTATATTTTATCAAATTTTTAAGATTTAACATTGAATACTAGTGAGTTTATTATTATACTTAGGACTAAATTAAAATTTTCCCATCTAAAAATTTTAGGTTTACTATTGTAGGTATTAAACAATATTACACTGAACGTCAAAATTAACGCATAATAAGCAAAATAATAAAAAAGGGGTCGTTAGTCTTCGTTACTGTTCGTTTGATTTGTACAAAATTTTCAAGGTATACTAACAAAAATACGGTCTTTAACAGCATATTTTTTATTTACTTAAAAAAAATCTCTAAAAGTTATTTTTCGAACGTTTTTTTATTATTAAATAAAAGGGCTTTAAAAATATTTTCTCGAAAAACCCTCTTGTTTTACTAATTATGTGTTAATTTTGACGGGCAGTGTATTTTATATGTATACAGGGTGGCCGATTTATCTGAAGACATTGAAATATTTCGAAAACTACGCATCGGATCAAAAAAAGTTTTGAATAAAATTTGTTCGCCTGGAAGGGGGACATCCAATGATACCAAAGTCGACCCCTCACCACCACCCCATGGGGTGGGGGTGGGGGCAACTTTAATATTCTAAATAGGAACCCCCATTTTTTATTGCAGATTCGGATTTACTATTAAAAAATAAGTAACTTTTATGGAAAAACTTTTTTTAAATTCCTGATAGATGGCGCTGTAATCGCAAGAAACCCGATTTTTGGGAATATCTTAAAAAATTACACATCGGATCGAAAAAAAGAAAAACTTGTTTAATTTTTGGATTTTATTCGTATATCAATAAGTTAACATCTATTTTTAAAATTACCCAAGAATGGGAAATCCGAATCTGCAATTTTTCAAGATATTCCCAAAAATCGCGATTACAGCGCCATCTATCAGGAATTTAAAAAAAGTTTTTCCATAAAAGTTACTTATTTTTTAATAGTAAATCCGAATCTGCAATAAAAAATGGGGGTTCCTATTTAGAATATTAAAGTTGCCCCCACCCCCACCCCATGGCCATGGGAACATGGGAACATCAAAAGGAATTAATTAATTTAATTTATTTTGAATTCCCTTACAATTCTCGTATACACTAATTATATTTTTTAATGGGAAATCCGAATCTGCAATTTTTCAAGATATTCCCAAAAATCGCGATTACAGCGCCATCTATCAGGAATTTAAAAAAAGTTTTTCCATAAAAGTTACTTATTTTTTAATAGTAAATCCGAATCTGCAATAAAAAATGGGGGTTCCTATTTAGAATATTAAAGTTGCCCCCACCCCCACCCCATGGGGTGGTGGTGAGGGGTCGACTTTGGTATCATTGGATGTCCCCCTTCCAGGCGAACAAATTTTATTCAAAACTTTTTTTGATCCGATGCATAGTTTTCGAAATATTTCAATGTCTTCAGATAAATCGGCCACCCTGTATATATTAGACTGGACCAAAAAAAATCGACTATTTTTTTTTTTGAAAGTATATCGGAAATATTGTTTGGGATGACAAAAAAAATTATGGTCAAAGTTTGAGTCCATAATATTAATATTAAGAGGTCTATCATCGCGATTTTAGATTTTTTTTTCCTGAGCGACTTAAGAATATTATTTGAAGTAAATTGAATGCTCTACAAAAAAGGTTTGATTGGAATTTCCCGTCAGATGAACCGTTTTCTTACAATCATGCCTTTGGTATAGTTTTACAATTTGATCTTTTAACTTTGGAATTTTGTAATTCAAGTAAAAATCAGTACCCATAAAAAACCGATAAATATTCTTATGGAAAATCAAATGCTCTACAAAAAAAGTCTTTTATCATTTTTGACTAAATTCACTCCATCAAAAGTTATTCAAGGTTAAATTTGAAGTCAAAACGAAATTTTAACCTTGAATAACTTTTGATTGGGTGAATTTAGCCAAAAATGTTGAGAGGCTTTTTTTGTAAAGAATTTGATTTCCCATAAGAATATTTATCGGTTTTTTATGGGTACTGATTTTTACATGAATTACAAAATTCCAATTCAAAAGATCAAAATGTAAAACTATACCAATTTTTAAGGCATGATTTTAAGGAAACGGTTCATCTGACGGAAAATTTCACTTTAACCTTTTTTGTAGAGCATTTAATTTTCTTAAAAAAATATTTTTAAGTCAATTTTGTTAAACTCGATGGTTTGGGAGTTATGAGCCTAAAACTTGCTGAGGAAAAAAAAAATAAAATTGCGATGATAGACCTCTTAATATTAATATTATGGACTCAAACTTTCACAATAATGAACCATATTATCGATATTTACTAAAAATAGTTGAATTTTTTGGCCCAGTCTAATATATACATATACATTTTTTTGACTATCAATTGGTTTAAGTTAAAAAAATAACATTTTAGTTAGGGTTATAGAAATTCGAGATATAAAAGATATAAAAATACACGTAAAAAGGAAAATAATATGAGTTATAGAAGCTCAAATTCGAGGGAATTTTCAGCGCAATTTTTATTTGTTATATTACGCCACTGGTGGTGTAAAATTAGATTTAAAATTTAGATCACTGGCACGGTCGTTAAATCAACAAAAAACCTTTTAATAAAACAAACGATAGGGATTACAAAGGTCGTTTCTAAAAAAATCAGGCATCCCAAACATTTCACATACGTACAAAAAACTGAACAAAAAAGTACGAAAAACCAAAAAATAACACTCTTAACACAAAACTAACCTATCGTAACGAATGCGGTAGATAATTTTTAAATACTGTCGGGTATTTTAATAAAATTAGATCTACTGAAAAACAAATTGAATTATTTTCTTACATAAGCTAACTGCGTGCGCATGTATTCAATTGTTGGTTTCTTTCATGTTACATAGTGAGCTTTGACATGTTTCAGTAAAATTACGCTAGATGGCGGTAAAACTTGAATGGGATTGATTCAACGATAACATTTAAAGAATATTTAGTATATTATATACGTACCTATGTCTCTCTGTTTATAAAATTGTTTTTATTCGATTTTTCTTTAATCTTCTTCGTAGAGTAGAATGAAAAGTTACTGAGATACCACCAGCTGTGTTCACTGTTTTAAAATCCAGTCAACACAGGGCGATCCCCAGCAACTTGACATTTTTGACTTCTCATTTCTGTTCTTTAAAATGTAGTTTCTTCTTTCCCATTTCATTAAAATTAAAAAGTATCATACTTTAGCCTTGACAATAACTTTTTTGTTTTAAAATTATTTTTAGGTTACAAACAATTGATAAACAGGGATCCTATGTGAATTACAGTTATTTAATGGATTTTTTTTATTTAGAAGGGTAAAAAAGTAGGAAAAATCGTTGTTAAAAATTATAAAAAATAAAAACAGGATTCTTACACAACAAATTAATACTTAAAACATAAAATTACACATATATTTGGTTCGATAAAAATCACACACGTTTCGACAATGTTAAAAGCAAAACTAAATTCACATTGAACGAAAAATATACCTAAACTGATTGACAGCGTGATAAATCGCGGTGGGCCTGGTTTGGTAAGGTCAATGGGCCTTCCAAGACCTTGAAGCGCGCAAATAATAATTTACAAGTGCCGGTAAAAAACAAATTGTGAACAAGTTTTTGTTATACCTACAATGAAGTAAAAAAAAATCGGTACTCACAATCTGCTGCTTGATTCCATAGCCGCCTCATCGCCTTCTATTCTGTACACCTTTCCGGACATGACGTATTCGAAGCTGTCAGCCCTGGAGCCTTCACTTTCCAGGCCCTGGGGATTCCAATCCCCCCCGTCAGGGTAGCCATCTTCCCTCAACGTAGTAGCTAGTACCAGACGAAATTTGTCACCTAAAAAATCAAGACTGTTGTTTGACTGATATTTGACATTTGCCATCTTACATCTGACATTTGACAACTGCTTGACAGTTGAAATTAGAAAAAAGTTAGGTTAAAACTGTCAAGCAACGAAATTACATATTCCTTGCAGGTTTTGAATAAACTACTTATTATATTATGACAAATTCAAACCAAACCTTTTTATATTTAACAATTTTAAATTGATACATTTTAACAAAAAATTCCAAATAAAAAAATTATTTCATAAACGTTAAATGCATATTCATATTTTATGCGATATGAACCTATGCATTTCTAACTATACACATACATATATATATACTGTCATGTGTACGTAAACAATACTCAATTGTTTAATAACAAATGAGTCAATGTCAGGTGACCCAATCTCTTATATCGTTTGGAGTCGTAAATAAAAATTCAACTCGATATTGATTTACCCAAGAATAAGCATAAGCAATTTTTGATCTTTCATAATTCCAAAGTAATCGAATCAAATATAAAATGTTATTAAAAATTTAAAGAAATAATTTTTATAACCATTTGTGTAGGCGTTACAAAAATTGATTCTATCCTCCGTGAATCTGTTTTTGCTTTAAATTTTATGCAACGGATGGCGCTTTAATCATTTTAAATGAGCAAAAACCTCTAATTACGAATTCAAAAGTTTTTTATAAATATTTTATGTATGTACAATTGTATTTTAAAAAAATATTAAGGTTTCAAAAGATACAATAACTTATTTCAAATACAGACTGTATAGAATCAAGTAAGTAAGGCTGGAGACAAGGATGACAAATTATATTCTGATCAGAGAAAAAAAAACAAACTTTAATTGGGCGTGGATTAAACCAAGCATTTCGTAATTACGAACCATAGTTGCCAGGTTGTTTTAAATCAGAAGAGAACGATTATAATTATTTAATAAATAGTTCAATTTTATTAGTTTGAAACTTTAAAAATAACAAAAAAATTGATAATATGTCAAAAATAATTTGATTTAGTTTAATTTTCTTACTTTTAATATTAAAAAATAAGAAAAAAAACCCTTTTAGGAAACAATAATAGCATATGGCATGCAGCCAGATACAAGGGCATGCAGTTTGATCTACTGTTTGTTCAGTAGTTCCGACGCTGTCGTAGGGAAATGTGTAGTTTTTAAGAAATACATTTTCGCCATTAACTGGAATTTAATGGATTTTAAACAATACTTGGTTTTTATTTGCAGAAATGCATTAAAACAAAACAAACGAATTCGATAAAAATAAAACCTATAAATTCTCAAACAAAAATAATTCTAAATAAACGAAAATAACTTTTTTTCTAAATTAAATGTTCAAATAGACCACCAGCAGCATTTAAACAATACCCTAGCCTATCATAAAAATTCCTGCGCATTTCAGGACTAATATCTCCCAATGTATTAAAGATCCCTACCACAGTGGGCGGGGTTTGGCACTTGTTTTATTTAAGTGTAGCTATTCGTTTTAATACACACTGTATAAAGGGATGTTTTAAAAAAAACTTACGAAATCCTAACCTCCGTGAAGCTCTAATATTCAAAATTTATGGTTTCTTAAAATTCTTGCATTAGTGCAGAACCACTTATGTTATTACTAGACCTGGTGGCTTCCCAAAAACCCCATTCCAGACTAACAGTGAAACAACAAAAAATAAAAAATGATCATTTTCACTCAATATATTTACCCATCTACATACAAATTAAATTACTATTTTCAGAAATCTTTAGGCATCTATTTATCTATTTTATTTAAAATGTAGAACTTGGAAGTTTGTACTGGACAAAAAGAAATAAAATTATAAAAAATAGAATTTAAAAAAATAATAAATCACTTTTTCTTTTTACAATTCTTAAATCGATATAAATAAATTAAACAGAACAAACATTCATACAAAATTTGAAAAATATAAAATAATAAAGGAATATACAGTTTAGTATTTTTTTTAATAGGACACTATTGAAAAAGCTTATAATTTTAAATATCGTTATAAAAATTAAAAAAATCATTTTCTGTTTATTTTTTGCCCCTTCTAACTCAATGGTAAGCCCAGAAACTTTTGAGATCAAATCGGTTAAGTCAATTGGTAACCCTGGGACGGACGGGATTAACCTTTATAGCGGAAAAGTTACGAGCAAGGGCAGGGTTACTATTATGCGATTGTTGGTTGTGAAGTTTTAGAGGACGAGGTCGGATATTCTACATTGTATACTCTCTTAAAATGAAATAGTCAAAATTCTACTATTTGAATTAGTACCAGCATTTTTTACTAATTAAATAGTCGTTTTCACTTTTAAATAGTTATTTTTTACTACGTAAATAGTTAAAGTTTGACTAATTTAAGATATTATTTGAATTAAATGCGTATACCTAAGCTCCATGGTTAAATGACCCATAAAAACAGATAAATATGCAAAAAGTTTAGCTTAAAAAAGCAACACAAATAATATATTCAAGTTTAAAATATTATGAACAATATTTATTGACAAATAAAATTAATTTTTTTAAAGAGGCTGATAGCCGAATGGGTTATGACAACAGCTTGACAAGTGAGTTCAATCCCCGGCTGGGTCAAAACTTTTTTTAAAATTAAATCTACTAATTTGACTATTTCATTCATTTTAAGAGAGTAAGTTACAATTAGTGTATATTTTATTTCTTTCACTCTAATCTTATCTTTTTGGATTTGTTTTCGCATTTTTCAAAATTATCATAAAGAAATGTCGCCCTTTCTCTAGTGGAGCTAAAACCGACCGTCATTGATCGCTTTCGGGCGAATTGGGGGGAAAAGTGGGGATAAAGGGGGTACATAAACTTTTGCCCACGCCGAATTCGGTTGACATAGGGCGGGACGCTCAAGACACGGTATCGATCCAATCAGCTGGTCCGGAATGCCCAAACTTTTCGGAAACTTACTTGATTTTATCAAGTGTTGTCAATGTTTCAAATCCAATTTATTTATTTATTTTTTATTTCCACCTGTGACTGTTGCTCGACGAACTCTTTTTTTCGTTTGAATCATTTCCATTTTTTCTTCCACAGTTAAAAAATCCATTATGAATAACTGCTTAACGAAATGAGGTCTTTTTGTTTGCAAATTAATCTTCGAACTAAATTGATTAAATAATGCTAAACTATGTACAAATAGTTTCTTGGTACCTCAATTAGGATTAAATTAATTAATTGACAAAATCATGATTTTTTCCCTTAAATGATTTAATGCTGACAGGTAAAAAGTGACCATGGTGAGCAATTGATAATTATCCCCGAATGAAATAATGTATAAAACTTAAACCAAAGGAAACTTAAATATTAGTTAAAAAATCTTGGGTACTTAAAAAAATCAGATTTAATTTAATAACATAATTATTACCAAAAAAAGTGACATTTTTATAGAAAAATTATTGCAGAATCGTATAAGAGAAATCGAAAAAATTGATTTTTTTCATTACAGCGCCATCTATTACAAATATAAAAAAATGTTTTAGACAAAATCTACCTATTTTTAGTCGAATGATCTGCAATAAAAAATAGGGTGTTCCATTGGAAATTTTAAAGTTAAATGACTTACCCTGTATATGTCTTAAAATTAAGTGATAAATCAACGTTGAATTAAATTCGTCTAGTAACAATCTATAATAAATACGTATATAAAAGTAGACAAAAATGGAAAATTTTAACGACATTTTATTTTCCACAAAAAAATCCATTATTTTACTAGTTAGCTTATTAAATAAATACATAAACATACCTATATCAAAGTATTAAATATTTATTGGCAAATGTACGTACTGAACATCTTAAAACTAAAAATACCTTTTAACAAAGCCAACTTGAAAATATTTACATGTGCCTCATCATAAACGACTTATAGGTATACAAAAATATAAATAGAATAATGGCAATATTTATGTTATCTTTCAAGTTTGACCATATTAATTAAAATTATATAATTCAGCAATATAAAATTTTGATTTAATAGGTTGGCTATAATATTTTTATGACTTTTCTAGTACTTACGAGACTTTTTTGGCAATAAATTTTGTTTAACACCAAAGAAAATCCTTTTTTTCTTCTTTAACATTAACAGCCGCTTATTGTAAATAAGTAAATAAAGGACGGCATGGCGAATCGATTTTGACATTAACTGTCAAACCAATGTCTGTGATACCAACTATCTAAAGTAAAATTCGACCAAACTAAATTTAAGGTATAAAAGGTGCAAAGTGGATGAAATATGTTATGTCATAAGACCTTTTGTAGCAACAAAATGACATTAGTTCTTTAATATACTATTAAATTATGCCGATAAATATCAAACCGTTACCTTACACAAACAAAAATATGTTGACATCACACATGCAATCGGATTAAACAGTGCGTGAGTGGTTGATACATCAAAACAAAAATAATTTTTTCTTTAACTTCAAGCATAATGTTTAACTGCAATATGGAAATACGTCGCGGACTGTTGCCAGGCAAAAATTTTTGTACGTAGACGGAATACATCGGCAAAGTGACACGTGGCTAATTTTGTTGGATAGAAAAACTTTAAATTATATTTTGCAGTACTATTATTATGTTAATTATTTATATTTAAAAATGATGTTATTTTAAAATATAAAACTGCGAATGGAAAATGTATTGCGATGTAGGTACCTATTTGTTCTAGAAAATTAAATGTTTTAGCAAAACAAATATGGCGGCTCATTACCAGACATTGTTTTGATACAATTATGTAAACACTCATTTTTGTGGGAGATGATCTTTTATTTTTTATTTATTTAAACAGATCTTATATTAATCGTAGGTATAACTATTTTCTAGAAACTTACATTTTTATTGTTCACAATATTGCACCACAAAACATTGTGTACGTACAATCTTCAAGCACCAACAGATAAAATTACCACCTGAGCTCCAAAACATATTGACGTAGGTTCATGTTTGCAATGTTATTGTGCTGCCGTATGTTTCTAACGAAACGCAGTTCGACCTTGGCAGTAGTTTTAACTTGTCAACAATGCAGGTCACCTTGCAGAAGTGGGCATCTTCTTCTTGGGGTGTACATCCAGGTGTACAAAACAATCCTGAGGCTTTAGCTGTTACGCCGAAGACAAATATTGTGGAGGACTGTTGCGTAACATCTGGGGGGCCCCGGCAAGGCGCAATGCAGGGGCGCACGCGCAATTTTCCTCGCCCAGCCTTGGCAATGAACTTGGCAGTGGCGCGGGTCAGGGGCTGTTGGGGGGCCCGGGGGGCCACCGGTCGCTAATATTCGCGCCGGTCGATACCTACTCTTCGAGCACATGCGATATACAAGTACACTTGTTTACTTCAACTATATTAAGATTTTCATCCCTATAGCCCATATGGAAAGCTTGAATCCCTTTTTTCGACCATCAAGCAGATTCACCGCCATCTTGGATTAAAACATTTTTGTGGTAATATTTAAGACGCTTAAATATGCAAAATATTCCCAAATATCACAGATTTTTTTTTCCTGAGCGAGTTTTTGTCTCAGAACTCCCAAACCATCGAGTTTAACAAAATTGACTTGAGAATATTTTTTGAAGAAAATTGAATGCTCTACAAAAAAGGTATGATTGGAATTTTCCGTCAGATGAACCGTTTTCTTACAATCATGCCTTAAAAATTGGTATAGTTTTACAATTTGATCTTTTAACTTTGGAATTTTGTAATTCAAGTAAAAATCAGTACCCTGAAAAAAAACGATAAATATTCTTATGGGAAATCAAATGCTCTACAAAAAAAGTCTTTTATCATTTTTGGCTAAAAAAAGTTATTGTATCTTTTGACACCTTAATATTTTAAAAAAATACAATTGTACATACATAAAATATTAATAAAAAAAATCTACTTATTAAGATATTACACTTTACGGTGGATAGGTTTTTAAATGGTAAATTAATGAACTTAAACTTTTGAATTATAAAACAGCAACACTCTCATCTGCATGTAAATTCTAACTGACCTTCAGGAATCACATGCATCTATAATGTCGTAAACAGAGGTTTTTGCTTATTTAAAATGATTAAAGCGCTATCCGTTGCAAAAAATTTAAAGCAAAAACAGATTCACGGAGGATAGAATCAATATTTGTAACACCTACATAAATGGTTATAAAAATTATTTCTTTTAATTTTTATTAATATTTGAAAACATATGGGTTAACCTTGAAAGAGTAACAGTCACAGAGGATAGGTTTTAGACTTTTAAAACATTGTAAAAAATAATTAATTGCGGTTAACAAAATTGGAAACAAACTTACCTAATTCCATTGGGTATAGCCAAGAATTTATATCCAATATCAAGTCCATTTTGAATGATTCACTTTCGCAGTGTAGCCTGCTGACTGAAACAAAAAAAAATTAAAACATGACATTTTTTATTTATTCATTCAATTTCATAGATCCTTGTCAATCACAAAGTCTATACTGGGCGTTAGACATATCAGGGTTTTATTTTTAAGGCCAATTTTTTTCGTTTTTGTATAAAAACAGAAGCCTAGTAAAACATTTCATGTTCAAATTCATATAAAATATGTATATTTAATTGTTTAAATAATGTTTCAATGGTCGTTTCCAAAACGTATAAAATCTAAAAAATAGCATTGCCATTAAAAATCTATAAATTCCATACTTAAAAAAGAGATAATAAATAAATTCGAGCGCTCACCCCACCACTGTCTACTTATGTACATAGATAAAACTACAAATAAACATTTTCAATAAAACAAAATATACCTACGTAGGTTTCATCACAATTAGTTAGAAGATGCCAAAAAAAGCTGGCTTATTTGAAACAGTGGCGTTTTTTTTCGCTAAAAAACACATGACGCACAATTTATCCCCCCATTAAAATAAAATTTAAATTATATTATACACCATTTACACAGTATGTACGTATAAACAGAAGAACCTAACTGAACCGGTGATTCATCGATTCCTTCCCTGACCTAGAACAACTAAACGTGGAACCTCCAAAAAAAGAAAACATCACCAGAGGGCGGGGCGCAAGTCCCAGCACACCCGATCGTGCGCATTTAACGCCCACCTACGCCAGAAATCAGGATGACAACAAACAGAAATTTATTAAAAAAATAATTTAATTTTAATAATGTTTCGTAACCGAAATATCATAGGTATGGCAAATAAAACTCAACCCTGACAAACGCGCTGATTATTATTATTACATTAATAAACCTTCACAAAACAAAATCTCGGAAATATTTTCAATTATTTTTGGCCTTGATAATGCCTAGGTAGAGTTCAATAAGTTTATTCGGTAGGCGTTGAATATTAGTCGAAAACGGATATTAAAAATTAATTTTACGCCCAGTTACAACACAAAGAATTGATATTTTTTTCTTTACCTACTACATTTTAAAACTGAACTCATTATAAATATAATAAATAATATAATAAATTCTTTTGTTAATCATGTTTTTATAGGTTCAATTTAAATAATCAATAGATGCATCATCAATTTACAGTATCCAAGAATAAACTTATTTATCGATTAGGAAAATTTACTGTGTAGGCGGAAAGACCAGCAAGAATCATCAGGAGTTGAATGTTATTTAATTATGCAAGTAGACAACAGGTCCTCTTAATTTATATTCCATATTGCAGCAATTTTCGCCCAATAAATATTAGGTACCCAAAAACAATGATCCTGTTAAGTACTTTAAAATAATTATCTTTATTGTTTTTGAACGCTTATCTCAATTTTTTAATTCGCAATTTTAATGCAATGTAAACAAAACTGTTTTTTATTGAAACTGTAATTATGCAAATGCAATGTGCTATTAAATAATGCGTAATAACGTGTTACCATTGTAAAAAAAACATATTGTTGCCTAAAAAATTCATACGGATGCCGAATGTAAACAAAAGCAGCCCATGGAAAACAACTGCATCGCTCACCTTGTCAAGTTCACGGCTGCCTAGATTGCACATCGAACATTCAACGTAACATGCCATTTGATGATAATTTTTTCTCAACACTTCAACACTACGTGGCCGAAATATTTTTGGTAAAATTCATGATTGCCGAAACAACAACAGGAGAAAAATTTGCCGCGATCGTCTATAGTCAAGTGTGCCGCCAGAACAACGTCGGCCAATAGGGGGGAAGGGGGGAGGGGGTGGAGAGGCGAATTCGAATGCGCAATTGCCCCCCCCCCGCTTTGGACACCGTGTTTAGGAATCCCCGCTCTCGCCCCCCCATTCTTGTAAAAATCTATAGAACCGTATTGCGCAATAAGAATTTTGAGGGTTTATTCGATGAATGAAAAAAGGATTCTTGGAGAACAATACGTAACAAAGACTTTTTTGGTTAAGAAATTATTTTATATAATTGCTTAGTAATTAGCACTTACGTGATAAATTATTTAATAAAAGTTAAAATCCTTTTTCAAGGCCTCTTGCTATTACAGTATTATTTTAAAAACCTTGATTATTGTTAATAGGAATAAGGAAAGAATAATTCATGGAAAGACCCGCAATTAAGGTAATAATTTTTTATACTACTAACCTTAAAAACTAAACAATATTAACTATGTATCTAAAAATGAACATACCGATTAAAATGGTTATGTTATTTCTAAAACCAAACCTATCCCAACAACATTACGATGACGCACAATTTTGGGGAAAAGGACGCATGGCATGGGGGTGTAAATGCAATTTCCCCCCCGAACTCCCCCCCCCCCCTATGCGACTCTGTCTCTTTTCAAAAGCGATCGATTCAGCTGTACACAGAGCTCTGCGATGTTGTGACGGTCAAGGTTACCGGGTCTAGGTCATCCTCGACTACCAGGACTCCCCTCCCCCCCTTCCCCTACACGACACCATGGTGGCCTACGTGCTCCCCTTTCGGGATTTATTACCAACAGTCGCGCACAAGGAATTTAAAGACGATTTAATGTCGCGTTTTATCCGACATCCGTTAGACAGTTTTAACCTCAATTTTTTTCAATTTTAACTTAAACCTACGAACGGAAAATGACACAATCAACAATAATTAATGCGTTGCATCACTGTCATTTTTATAATAAAGGTAAATTCACACAAGATGCTTAATTTTTCAAATCTAGCTTTATAAAAATAATTTTAAAACTGTTGCTACCTCCCTTTATCATAACTTTGTTACAATTTTTATTTTTATTGATAAAATAAATTTAAAACAAAAAAAAAAATTAAAAATGTGTTATTAAAAAAAGTAATTTAATAATTTTTGAAATCCAAAAAGACCAGAATTTATTGGATTGTCTTAAAAAAAGTAATTTAATAATTTTTGACATCCAAAAAGATCAGAATTTATTGGATTGTCTTATTATTTATGCAAAAAGGGTACATTATGATTTTTATAGCTGTGTATTTATTCTTAAATAATATATTATATTAAATTATGTTTTTAGTATTTAAGTATACTACATTCTTTATATAATTTTTATTATGACTTGTCCTTATATGTACAATGGACCAATAAATTTTATTATTAAAATATTATATTCCAATACATTTATGTCATTTAATTTCTCTTGGAATATACATACCTATAGGTATCTTAAAACAAAAAATTAATTGTAGATGACATCCACTTTGACTTATGGGTAAAATTTATCTATCTTATAGGAAAATAAATCTTTCTTCTAGAAAATCTAAAAATTTTTACAAGATTCAATAATCAAGAAAGCATTTTTTAAACTAATTTGTTTTTGCATAATAGTTATTTATGTCATTAGGTTAAGAAGTAAGGCTTTTTGTGCTAAGCTCAAGGTTTGAGCGAAGCACAAAAAGGCACTTCTTGGCCGAATGGCATACAACGTTTTATCTTCAAAGCACTTTATATAGGTCAATTTAATTCAACATCAAAGCGGCCTAACCTCACTTTTTTAGAATCTCATTTATTTATTAGCTAAAGATTACATTAAATGTACAATAATTATTATTGCTTTTAGAAGCACTAATAGTTTGACATTACCTAGCAACATATGATTTAAGTAAAAATGGATTTTTGCTATTACATTGAATTCAATTAATTGTTTAATAAATAGGTAGGTATTCAATTTGTTTGGATTTTTATTTAAAAAATAGGTAGTTTGGAATGTTTTAGCCGTGTTTAACATTTAATTTCACTAAAAACTTAAAGCAAATTAAAACTTAAGATAATTTAAATCGTAGAAAAAGAATCGTGCGTTTTCTTGGTTGCCTAACCTCACTTTTTGTTTTATTATTCATATTTAATTTTACAAAAATTTAATGAAAAATATTAAACATTAACAGTAAAACAAACAAATTAGTGCTTATTATAAATAAATTAAACCAGTTTAGTACGTTAATTTCTTAGAAAAGGATTAATTTGTCAAAACAATACCCCTAGCGAGAAAAAATCGAACTAATTACTTGCCTCATAAAATTTTTATCGGCCTAGGCCATAACAAGGTATTTCTTAATCGAATGTTGACAACAATAAAGTTTAAATTATAGACCGCGTGGAGATAAAATATTTTTATTGTATGGTATAGCTTCATAAGAACCATTAGGTATATTAGTTTAACTCGGCAACAGATCATATTTACCAATCCTCATTTAACATGAAAGATGCGGTAACTGCATTGTAGTTAAATAGTTTAGGGCTGTTAATGCATTTTAAAGTATATTTCCTGAAAATTTTAGCCTTTAACTACCTTTTATAATCTGTGTATAATATGGAATAATTTCTAGGCTTACCTGCCATATATTTTGTAACCAATTCATGTTAGATTTTAAAATAATAATATATCAAACCATATAAAATACAGTAACATAATTCTTGGGTTCTTTATGTCCTAAATAAAAATGTTAAAAATTTTGTACAAGGACATAACCTCAAACAACACGCCGAAAACCAATTGTGCATACCTCTGTCAAACTTTTTTCCTTCTGGATCGATATCTTTAACGTTAAAAATATCCTCGAATAGCACTCCCGCCATTACAATATTTTACCGAAACTGGTTAAAAAACAAAACGAGTTAAATCACACGAAAACGTTTTCAAAACATAAAATTGACAGATTTGACATTTGGTTATTTACACTGCTGCCAACAAGACAAATAGCACCAGAACTGGAGGGTATTTTGAATCGGACCAATAGAAAACCAGGAAATAATTGTTTTTAGTTTTGACAGGTAACATGATTGTAAACATAGTATGTTTAACATACATTTATTTATGATAAAAATTGAGTTACGGTAAGGTTTAAACTGCGAAAATGTCTTCCTTACCGCCAAGAAAGAATCCCACACCCACGAAAATATCAAAACAGCATTTATCGCCGTTACAAACGCTTTTACAGCTCGGATTTCCCAAACATAGAGCGTACGTTGTTTAATGTTTGTGTTTTTTTGTGTTTATATTATTTTTTTTCGTAGAGAGAAGGCTTTGGCTGCTACAGGAAACGATAAGGCACATTTGGCATCCGATTGGTTGCTGGCACACGTGAATGATCCGTTTTTGGATGATAATTCCCCAAGGGAATATATTTTATATGCATGTCCCACTGGAAAACTATTGCTGCAACTGCAAAATTTCTGGAAGAAGTCTCTAGATGTATGCGGTTGGAACGGAGCACATAATTATACGCCTCATATCACATTAGTTTCATTTTTTAAGGTTAATTACTTAAGTTTTTTAATTGTTTCTTGATTGATGTACTATTTAGGCGCCCGATGAAGATTCTCCACATTTAGCACAAAGTTTAAAGTCCATAATGGAGAGACAAGGAGCAATGTTGAATGAGCCCCTTAAATTAGAAACATACATCTCTCCAAATTTTATGGGGTTTTTCGTAGCAGAAGAGCATGCCGATTACTTAAAAAGAATAGCTATGCAGTATGTTAAAGAAGTTTCTAATGCAAGTGAGTTGTTTTTTTATAAAATTAATGCACGTTTAATTAAAATTACTTGGTTGATACTAATTTTGGCTCGAGTATGACGGTGGTGGTTTATTTCAGTTATAAGTGATACTTATGAGCATTTCGATGCTCTAACGGCCTGTTTTCCTTGGTGTACCACAACCACAGCACGCTGTATCCCAAGAGGCAGCCGATGTAAGCAAAAATAGTTGTAGAATGTTTAGGTGTCAGTTGTATTTTGGTTCGTTTAGTTTTTTTACGGTTTTTCGGTTCTTTTGTTGAGTTGTCGATTTTTTAGCGATTAGTTTGGAACCTCATGTCAAATCTCTGCATTTAACGTTGGCATATCAGTTTCCGAATTCGCAGTACACAAATTTAAAGACTTTGGTTGAAGAGTTGGATCCGAATGTTTCCGGAGGGTGGGAATTGAGGTTATATTCCAGAGATTCTAGGGTTAATGGAAAACAAGTACACAAAGTAAGTTTTTTTTAGGTTATTTTACAGTTTTTTGTGTTTTCAGTACAGAGTTTTTTATGTTGTGGTAAAAAAGTGTTGAAAATTGGCGCCTTTTTATCGCTTTCAGATCTTTGCGGATATTTGCGTTGGCAACACTGAATACAAATAATTGAGGTTATGTATCTGTCAGTTTAACCCTAATTTCGCCTTATCTTCTAAAATTAATACAGTATTTGTATTTATTGTATTATTTTTAGAAAATACCACGAAATTAGCTTTAAATTGACAGATATAACCTCAATTATTTGAATTCAAATGTAAAAGTGGAGCAAATTATATTTTATCTTTAAATTTAAATTGGGAGAAGGAAAAAATCCTAAAAAGTAAAAAAATCATTTATTTTTAAAGGTACTCCCAAAGATTTTTAAATTAATTTTTAACCTGACCCCCAAAAAAAAAATCAGAAAAAAATACAAAAAAGTGGGAAAAAATCATATTTTTTTTAAGTAGATTTTTTTCTATCTTTTAGACTCTTTAAAGGTACTCCCAAAGTTTCAGATCTTTAAATTAATTTTTAACTTGAAAAAAACACAAAAAATCCTATATATGTTCAATCTTCTTCAAAGTATATTTTAAAGAAGATTGAACATAACCTAGAAAAAGTGCTAGAGAGAGATGTTGAATTATTTCGTAATTCTTGACACATTTGTCAAAACGTTGCAGCGTTCTTAAAAATTGTTTGAGAAACGTAGACACTCTTTTTTACAACAACCAGAATGCCTAGATTCCAAATGTGCAATGTGATTGAATTTTTAAAGGCCCTGTATATTTTTTAATTAATAATACGCTAAATAAGTTTCTCTAGTAGCGCCACCACTCGGCTGTTATCATCGTAACAAAAGTATAACTTTTAATAATCAGCTGTCAAACGCTTATTTTACAAACGAGTTTTATTGAGAATAAAAATGTTAAAAAATATCGGAAAAAACCGGTTTTCCAATAGACAGTGTTAATCTGAAATTCAGATTAACACTGTCTATTGGAAAACCGGTTTTTTCCGATATTTTTTAACATTTTTATTCTCAATAAAACTCGTTTGTAAAATAAGCGTTTGACAGCTGATTATTAAAAGTTATACTTTTGTTACGATGATAACAGCCGAGTGGTGGCGCTACTAGAGAAACTTATTTAGCGTATTATTTATTAAAAAATATACAGATTCTGAATGAAGAAATAAATTGCATACAGTCTCTGTAAAAATAAATTGTACCTATTAGATACAATAAGTACACATTTTAGTAGTGATTAACGGGAAAATGTAAACATTTCAATTCAGTAAAAATCCTCAAACAAATAAGTCGTCTAAATTTAAACAGCATTTAGCATTATTAAAAGCGTTGATTAAGAAAGTCTCCACTCAACGGTAAAATAGGTACCATTATATTATGTATTATATATAATATTATGTTGCCTTGAATTCGTAGGTATATTTTGTTGTTTAAAATGCAGTTGTCGGCGTTTTTTAGAAAACTTAAATATAAATTATATTAGGTAAAGTTATCATTAGGTAATTCTGCACCAACAAATGTACTTACCGAATTGGATCCTTTGGCAAAACATGAAAATGCAACGATTTAGTTCTTTAATTTTATTTGCAATTAAAAACACGATAATTCACTATGATCCCTCAGATAAAATGCACACACTAACGTAACTATATAAGCATTTCAGCGTTGAGTTTCTTAATCAATGATATGAGGAATAATCAATCGAAATCGAGTACTAAAAAAGTTTACCAGATGGCGATACTTTAGCGTATTTGAAAGGTTGTTTGACATTACAGATTAAAGATTGTCAGTGTCAGTAATTTTGGAAGAAAATAAATCAAAATTTGTCAGTTATTATTACAAATATATAAATAAAAGGTAAACCATATTCTGCCTTAATTATAATTATATGTTTTCTTTACTTATTTATTAATTTTCATGTGGCTTTTAATAAGCATAAAATTAATAAATATTTATGGTTAAGGTTATTCAAGCGCACAACCCAACCGAACACGACGAGTTAGATTTAATTTTGGGAGATTACGTTTACGTTAACAGTGAGGCGGTCGGTAATTCCCCGGACGGTTGGGTTGAAGGCACCTCCTGGCTTACCGGACTTTCTGGTTTGATACCGGAAAGTTACACCGAACGTACGACAGAGTCTGATGCTTGGACGGTTCACAAAAAGGCGGCTCTAAACACCGCAAGTCCTTCAGGTAAAACCAAATACCTAGTGCAGCGTTTTTGGTTACCGCTGTAAACATTTTTAGGTGATGCTAAATCTCCGGTTAAACCGCCTAAAAGTTACCCGGAACATTCCGTTTTGAACAACGACGAAATCGTCATACCCTTGCTTTCTGAAGATATCAAAGATATTGAAGTTGACGAAAAGACTAAAGAGGTGATCTATCAAAATTTGATGGACATGAAGAATAAGGGGTATTCAGAGGGAGATGTAAGTACAATTATTAGAAATTATGTCTTGGTTTAGTTCTGGGAAGCTTGGTCTTTTTAGTTCCCAACCCTGATAGCAAAATTTGATTCTAAGAATCTTCCAAGAAGATATGACCCGGAATAATGGAATATTCTTAGAACCTTCCCTTATTGCTAAGAAAGTTCTTAGGGACTTTTAAAACATTCAATAGATACCCTTTTAATGATGCAATTAGATTCTTAGAAGCTTCTTAAAACCTTCCTAAAAAGCATTCTAAGAACATTTTAAGAATACGTTTTTGGAATGTTCTTAGAAGGTTTCTTATGGAGCTTCTAGGAAGCTTTTGAGAATATTTCCAAATATGTCAGATACCCACGTTCTAATATGTCGGATTCTACATTCGTAAAATTCTTCAGGAGGCGACAAATACGCCTCACTGTCATAATAAGACAGTGAAATGTATTTGTCGTCCCCTTAAAAAAAATTGCGACATATTAATATATATTTATTTAAAAATATTAAATAAACAATTTGACCTCTAAACCATAAGTTGTGTGACATTATTTCATAAAAAGTAAAATTGTAAAATTTTGTGGGATAAGTCAGATTAGATTGAAGTTGAAGATAGTTAGGATTATTATACATAAAAATGTTAATTCAGAAATAAAAAATCGGTATACAAATTAATAAATATTTATTTTTAACATAAAATAAAATATAAAAAAACAAAATATTTACTTATAAAATAATTCTTCATAAAAGAAAAAAACCAAATAGTTCTTCATAAAAAAAACATTTTTCATTGTATTTAAGTTGGATAGAAGATTTTATGTAAAAGCCGGATAATTTAGATACCTATAGTAAAAGTATTTTTGTTATGGAATATTGTTTTAATTTGACAAATAACTATAAAAACATATTTTGGGTTGTATTTTTTACTTAGTATTTAATACTACCTTTATACGTAGATTATGGTATATTTTACTATTATATAGGTACCTAACTGAACTGAATATGCTTAACATAATGTTCCAAGAATATTCCTAAATGAACTTTCTATAGCAATTACTTTCTCAACATTCTAAGCATATGTTTAGAGTGGATTAATTTTTACCACTAAACTTTCCACCTTCTAAGAATCTGCCTATTATAGGCCTATAATAGGCCAATGAGAATATTCTTAGGATTATGCCATATTTATTTTAAGCATGTTCTTTAGAAGAAATATAGCATGATCCTAAGAATATTCCCACTGGAAGGTTTAAAAAACATTCTTAGAATAAACTGTGCTATCAGGGAAAGTTTTATTTATGTTATTTTTGCCTATTTCAATAACCCTTAAGTTTCAACACTTTAAAGTATTATGAAGAACGTAATTTTTACGAAAGAAAAGTGTACTTCGCCTAAAGGAAAATTTAACGGTAATTTTAACGTCAGAATTTTTACTTAATGGTAAATGTTACTAATAAGTCATCCTATTCGCCTGGTATTTTTAGGGTTATTAGTGGTAATAAATACTAAACAAGGAAAAATAAGCTTTTTAAAATATAAAAAAGAAAGTTTTAGTGATTACAACTAAATGATTTTTATAAAATTTTGTAGGTTTTAAATGGACAAAAAATGTAGATTCATGCAAAAAAATAACAAACCAAAAATGTTGTGTAGTTTTCAAGTCAAAGTTTTTTAGCACTAAATCTAATTCTTGGTTTCATCTTGTTGACTTTTAAGGTTAACATTGTCATATTGTCAGGCCATTTTGCCTGTTTTTTATGACAATGTTAAAAGTAAAAAGTATTTTATCGACGGTGATCCGTTTTCAGGTCCAACAATCTGTGGACAAATCTCGTAACATATACATAATGCGGCACGGGGAGAGAATTGACTTTACTTTTGGAAGTTGGATTCCGTATTGTTTCGATGATGCCGGTAAATACATTCGTAAAGATTTGAATATGCCCACGAATTTACCGATGAGATCCAGTGGTCCAAAAGGGTTTTTAAGGGATACGCCGCTCACCAATGTGGGGATGTTTGAAGCTACGTTGGTCGGGAAAAACTTGAAGGAAAATAACGTTGTTATCGATCATGTGTATTGTTCGCCATCGTTTCGCTGCGTACAGACGTGTGATGCGGTTTTGCAGGGGTTAAACATCAAAGATCAGATGAAGATTAAGATTGAGCCGGGGCTGTTTGAGTGGCTGGTTTGGTATCCCCACGGGCTTCCGGAGTGGATGACGAAGGAAGAGTTAAAAGCGGGGGGGTACAACATCGACGAGACTTACCTCCCGCTTATAAACGAGAAGGAGTTAAAGGAATCCCGCGAAGGGTGCGAGCAGTTTTACCTGCGCAGCGCTTTCGTCACCAGGGGGACCCTGGCGGCGCATTTGACGGGCAATATTCTGATGGTGGGGCACGCGGCCTCGCTGGACGTGTGCTCCAGGGAGCTGGTGGGGAAGCCCCCCAGGAACGTGCAGGAGATGACGAAGATTATACAGAAGGTGCCGTACTGCAGTCTGCTGAATCTGAAGAGTTACGGGGACAAGTGGGAGATTACGGAGCCGCCCTGCATGCCCATCACTCACACCACCAATCAGAGGTTCGACTGGAAGATAATAAATCATTAAATACATTTTACTTGAGAGTTTTTTATTTTTAGTTTTTGAGGTTTTGTTTAACAACACATTTTGCGCCCTAACAAGTTTAATTTAATTTTTAAAATAATAATCTATAGAGTATACTCAATGAAAACATTGACTGATAACAAAAATAGTACAAAAAGGTTAAAGAAAAACTAAAAATTGAAATTTAATATTTTAAATGTTCTCTTTGCGAAGTGCAAAAATAGATGTTTTGCGGTGTTGCCAAATATCCAAAAATTCTCTGAATCTGGTAATTTTAAAAAATCTTCGGATATCTTTAACAAATCATCTTGGAGTAATTGGCGGTGTTGCCAAATTTACAAAAAATCCCAGAATATGGGAATTTTTAAAGTTCTTCAGGATACCTTCATCAAGTCCCAGAAACGGAATTTTTCATTATTCTCAAACTAATTGGCGGTGTTGCCAAATTTTCAAAAATCCCAGAATGTACCAAATTTCCACAAAAAAAAATAGAGATGTTTTGCGGTGTTGCCAAATTTCCAAAAATTCCCGGAAACTGGGAATTTTTTTAAGCCATCCTAAAGTAATTGGCGGTTTTGCCAAATATCCAAAAATTCTTTGAATCTGGTAATTTTTAAAAATCTTCGGATATCTTTAACAAATAATCTTGAAGTAATTGGCGGTTTTGCCAAATTTTCAAAAATTCCCAGAAACTGGGAATTTTTCATTATTTTCAAAGTAATTGGTGGTGTGGCCAAATTTACAAAAAATCCCAGAAACTGGGAATTGAATATTGCATTATTTGGCGGTGTTGCCAAATTTTCAAATATTCCCAGAAACTGGGAATTTTTTATTATTTTCAAAGTAATTGGCGGTGTTGCCAAATTTACAAAAAATCCCAGAATGTGGGAATTTTTTATGTTCTTCAGGATACCTTCATTTTGTGCTCTTGCATTATTTGGCAGTGTTGCCAAATTTTTGAAAATTTACAGTACTTGGGAATTTTTAAAAATCATCAAAATAAATATATGTAGATAGATATTTCATCAATAGATTAATAGATATTCAATCCAATACATTTTTATGTGCGGTGTTGCCGAATTTTAAAAAAATTCCAGAAACTTGGAATTTTCCAAAAGTCATCTTTGTTATTGGCGGTGTTGCCAAATTTACAACAATTCCCTGAATCTGGTAATTTTCAAAAATCTTTGGATATCTTTAGCAAATCATCTTAAATTAATTGGCGGTGTTGCCAAATTTACAACAATCCCTAAATGTTGGAAGTTCTTCAGGATACCTTTATTAAGTAACGGTGTTGCCAAATTTCTAAAAATTCTCAGAAACCTAAAGTAATTGTCGATGTTGCCAAGTTTCAAAAATTTCCTTAATCTGGTAATTTTCCAAAAATCTTCAGCCGAAGTAATTGTCGGTGTTGCCAAATTTATGAAAAATCACAGATTATTACATTACGTTTTTTGTAATTTTTAACTACGTTTGATAAATTTAATATTTCAAATGTTTTCTTTTGCGACGTTGCCAAATTTCAACAAATCCCAGAATATGGTAATTTCTTAATACCTTAATTAAAAATAAAAAATCCGAACATAACGCAATTCTTTTCTAAGCACAAACACAATTCGTAGATTTTAATTATGCATTAATTAATATCTTTGTTTTATTGACATTTAAATAAAAATAATTGAGGTTATCAGTTTAAAGCTAATTTTGTATTACTTTCAGAAAATAGTACAAAATTAGCGTTAAACTGACAGATAGATAACCTCAATTATTTGAATATAATTGTCAAGGTCAAGTACTTGTCATTTTAGTGTCTGATGTTTACTTAGAAGAAAAAACAACAGGAAGGAGCATTTAATAAATGACCTTGGGTCCAAAGTGGTGCTTCAATATGGCGGATAGTTGTTTCCGTTTGACAGTGGCGTAGTAAATACAATTGAAGTTTAATTTTTATAATAATTAGGTTAGTATCAGAAAATATGATACGCCTATGGTTTTTTCTATGATGGTGACGTTCTTAGGTTATGGTTATGTTCTAAGGTTACGTTATTTGACATTGATTTATGTTTAATATTTACAACTAATTATTTTAAAATATACAATAAGTAAATAAATTAAACGTTAACCAAAATACTCACCTATGAAATGTAAATGAATATTTTTAATTTTTGTGCTCAAGGAGCAACCACAAGCTGCACAACTAACCATAATTTGTTTTTTACACCTTAAACACTAATATTTATATCTTAAACTTTAAATATTTACACTTAAACGAGAATATATCAAATAAAATACTGTCTAGAAACAATGAAACGCTTATTAAAAGTTAATTTAAGCAGAAAAACAACATAAAACACCGACAAACACATAAAACATTCAACTTTGACAAATATAGCATCACAAATTTTGACACATATGTGTCAAAATTTGGTGCTTGCAAATGGCCGACTTCCGACGCAATTTTAGTACGGCTAAAGAATGACAAGACTCCTTCCTGTTGTTTTTTCTTCTAAGGATGTTTATGGGAAAATAAATAAATATTAACCTATAAAAATAAGTTTATTTAGACTTACAAGGATTGTATACATAGAACTTGGTACAAACTTAATAACAAATGTAATTCAACTAAAAGAAGATTCACGATGTTTAAATTTTATTCAAACATGTCCACCTTCTTTAAGTTTACCAACAAGGGCATCTACATCGGGCAAAACAACACCGGCCTGCCTAGTTGGTGGGTCTTCAACGCTAACAACCTGAATCCTCGGAGCACAATCAACACCCAAGTCTTTCGGGGTTAGTTTGGTTATCGGCTTCTTCTTGGCTTTCTAAAAACAACAATATGATTACAAGAATTTTGTTAGGTTATAAATCTACCATAATGTTCGGTAGAGTTGCATAACGAGGTTCATTGAGTCTTAAATCTGCACTTATTACCGCAGGCATTTTGCATTTAATGGTTTCCAAACCACCATCAACCTCTCTTGTGACTGTAATATCTTTGTCACCCTTTTCAATCTGGAATTATTTTTGATTATTATATTTATTCTAATATATTGTTTTTACCTTTGAAGCAAAAGTGGCTTGAGGCCAGTCTAAATAGGCAGCTGTCATTTGTGCAGTTTGGTTAGAATCATCATCTATTGCCTAATAACATAAACCAACACCTACATTTCACACAATATTAATTAGAACAACATACTTGTTTTCCCACAATAACCAGATCAGCTTTCTCCTTTTCAGCCAATTTGGCCAATATTTTGGACACATGAATGGGCTGCAAGGTATCATATTCAGCCCCGGTAATTTCCACATGGATACCTTTGTCCACCCCCATGGCCAGGGCTGTACGCAGGACTTCTTGCGATTGAGCTGGCCCGCACGATACAGCTATAACTTCAGACGCAATTTTCTTCTCTTTTAGTCTTACTGCCTCTTCCACTGCTATCTCGTCGAAGGGATTCATGGAATGTTTTACACCATCCGTAACAACCCCAGTTTTATCGGGTTTTACACGAATCTATAAACAACATTCCAGTAATTGTGGTTGGAATGTTGGTTTTACTACTTACCTTAACAGCATAGTCTATTACTCTTTTTACTCCAACTAAAACACGGGCCATTTTATTATTTTAAGCTGGCTAAATGAAAATTGGATAACGAAAAAGCAAAGTGTACTGTTTGGACTTTAACCTTCCAAATCAGTTCTTGCGAAAACGTCAAAACAATACATTGATAACCAAGGATACATTTAACAGAACAGAACAAAAAATAGCGTTGAAAAAGCTTGCTGTAGGTTCGATTTTGATTTTGGACGGTGACGCAATCTTCTCTTCTAATAGCCGTGTTTCTTTTAACACAAAGATCTAAGTTAGGAATTGTAATTATCAGTAAAAAATCAAGTTTTAATCCTGTTATATATATCCTTGATCTTCTAACTAAAATTAACAGCGCCATCTAACCAAGTATGGCTGAAGGTTGCAAAGTTGTTTGTTATAGGCGTCTATGGCAGCGTTTTATTAGTTCAGTTTACTTTAAATAGATGGCGATGCTTACTTGGTAATTTAGTTCAGCCCAATTTCGATAGATGGCGCTTTTAAAAATATGATGAAAGTATTTGTAAATTTTATATCGACAAGATCCCTTCCATAAACCACGAACTGAGTGAAAAGAGATGCAACAGTATTCAACTAATGCAATATTAATGGCACGAAAAAGTCGCATTACAATCGGTCTTGTATTGCTTTATTTTTTCGGTTGCTATTTTCAACAATACCGCTCCATAATTTTACTTCCGTCTTTTTATCCGCGTCGGAAATTCATACTTTAAAAATTCTGTTCAGCTGAAATTTCCTGTTTCTTTTTTAAATCGTTACACATTGTAAAAATATCATTAATAAATAAATATTAGTTAATAATTTGGATAGATTTATTTACGTATACAATATCATTTTATAATAAAATTGAAATAGCTTTTTAATTTGATTTGCTATAATGTAATGTAAAATGGCAATCACGTGATGTTCTTACATCTCGCCTCGGTTGACTTAGGTGGACAGTATATAAGCTCAGGTGTCTTTCGTTTTTTGTGTGTTCCAATACACCAAATTGTCCGAAATTGACCATCTGTCTAGCTGTCTGTCGGTATTTGAAGTTGGTGGAACGCACTTAAAACAAAAACTCTGACGAGGTGAAGGTTCAATTTTTTAAAATATTTACAGTAATGGGTCAAGAAAATTTCTTGAAGAAACTAAGAAAATTGCAGGTTTTGTTTCGTAGTATAATTACAATATCATCATTCGTAAATTACCAAATATTTTTAGTGTAATTTGTTGCACAAAATAACAATATTTGTATTGTAATATTGCGAAACGAATTTTCTTCAGTTTAGTGAAATTGTAAAATATATTTTGCAATTTTCTTAAACTGAGTTGAAATGAATTGTATAGTGTAATTACAATACACCATTTTAAAATTACTAAATATATTTAGTATTTTTTTAGCAAAATTACAATACCTGTATAGTAATGTTACTGAACAAATTTTTAATAAATGCTTAGTGAATTTCAACAAACGTTTTGTAATTTTCCCAAATTGAGTTGTAATGAATCTTGTAGTAAAATGTTTAGTAAAATTACATTACATAACATTTTTTAACAGTGTAATATCATTTTCAACGAAAAATAATTGTTACTGGATACGGCCCTGTTTCCAAGTATCACGCTTTCACTTTTACAAAAAAAAACAATATATTTATAATAAAAGTATATATTTGCTTTATGTCCTTCTGCACCAAAATGTTTTAAGTAAAGAAATGTAATAAATACAAAGAAAGTTTATTTAACGTACATAAGACAGACACCAAATGGAATCCATCACTTAAAACAGAGAGCAAAATTAAACTTTTTTCTTCAATAAAAGCAATAAAAGAGAATCGAGAAATCTTTTAAATTTAATTTGCTGGAGATGAAGAATTTATGTCGCATTTTATTATTACAAAGTGACGATATATATATATATATATACATATATATGGGTGATTCTACAAAAGTTGGGCAACTTTTGACCTCATTTTGTTTATATAGTTTTCGGAGAAAATTAAACAGTATTTTGTTATGAGAACATAGATAATATAATATATATATATATATATAATACATATTATGTGTTTTCTAAATTTGAATGCAAGGGAAGTGACGAGTTTACCAGGGTACTAATTAAATACATAATTTATTAGAAAATATAAGATTTATTCCAACTTTGAGCATATTATTCATTAAATATCTTAAAATCAAATAATACCACACATCAGTGGCGGCTGGTGGATTATGGGTATTCCGATATCTCAATTATTATATATGGGACCCACACCAAATTTATATGAATTTATAATGACAATAAATAAACAAGTTCTGCGCAAGCAGAATTTAATTTGAAGTTTGCGAAAAAAAGATAACCGAAACATCGAATATGGAACTGACGACACGGTACTGATGAATGGGATTCAAATTTGAGATTATAATTCGGAATTAAGTATTTTACTGATATTTTTTATTAGTGGATACTACTTATCAATAAATCACATATAGCCTTATATAAATTACAATGAAATATATATACGTAAGAAAATAACTACTCACCACAGTACTGAAATTTTGACTGGAACTATACGTGCATTCACCACAACTATGCCGCTTGCATTGTTTTCAAGATGACTGTCGTGCAAAGGGCGGGCTCTGTAGGTAATTTTTTTATCAACACTTGAGTTAAAACGAGGACTTGACGTTTAAACTTCAATATTTTGCAGGAATTTTGAATTTTAACATGACGGGTAAAAGTGAGTACAAAGATTATCAATTTTTTTAAAAATTGCCATTTTTCGAATCTATGATAAAATATGAAAAATACATTATTTAATGTTTTATAGTTTGTAGTAAAATTGAAAAATTTAAGATAAATTGAATATATTTTTAAATAAAATCACTCAAATATTTGATTCAGGAGTTGTGACACGCCAAGGTAGGTACTGATGTTTTAAATATTTATTATGTTTTTCTATAAACGTGCTTTTGAAAAAATACATTAAAATTGGGTGGACAAGTTAAAAAACCTGGATCTTTTGTAATATACTAAAATATTTACAAAAAATATTAAAATACCTACTCTATTGACTGAAATAAAAATACACGTTTGTCCATTCAGTTGTTACTCTGCATACCCATGTAAAACAAAAACAATAAATTGTTTGAAGTGAATAATTGAATCATTGTCATGTGTTAATATTTATTTTGTTTTTGTGTTTATTTGGCATTAATAATATGAAAAATGTAATAATACATTTTGGTTAAAATTGTGAAATACGACAATATTAATTGAATTTTATTTTCTAAACATTTTGTAATTAGTTTTTAAAGATTATTAAATTATTCACAAAAAATGCCATTTACATTTTTATTTTTCAGGCAATTTTGTAGTACTTTTAATTTCCCACAAAATTGTTTTAAACAAATTTATGTTCTATTTTTGTGATTTTTAGATTTTGAAACTAAACTGTTTAAGTTTAAAGTATAATTACAATTTTAATTTTTAATATATTTATACTCATGAGCCTTTTAATAAAAAACACCGTTGTCTAATTAATTTAAAAAAAACGATGGTCTAGACTCGTCTAAATTTCATTATTTATAAAGTAGTATACTTACTTTCCTTTTTGTTCAGCTTACTAACCAAATAACTAATTTAAGTGTGTTCTTACTTGTAACTTTACTTAAAAAGTTTTAGGACTTTTCCCTTTAAATAATTTATTAACTTTTTTATTTCAGCAATGCATATTATAAAATATAAACCTAACCAGTATTTGTGTATTTGGTTAGACATCTTTCCATGAACAGCTTTTTCTGTTATTGTAAAAACGTTACATGATAAAACTTTTGCAATAAAAGACATGACCCTGTCACATAAGGTTCTCGCATGAAAAAAGTTGTTTGTTTTTGGACGCGATATGTACAACAATTCGTTTATCCTAAATATCATGCATACATAATAAGGGCGTGGGGAAAAACACTCAAAATCCCCCAAACACGGGGATGAAGAACAACTTTCACACTGAAAAATACACACTAATAAAATGTATGATGATTTATGATTTAAATTAAATATTTGTATTAGGCGACATCTATACGAAATCACCATTAACACACTGAAAAAAAAGATTTCTTATATTTAGAAAACCTATCATCTTGAAAATATTTTTTTATATTAAGAATAAGATATTCTTAAATTTTTTTATTCGTTTTAATAAACATTATTTTCTTTTGCCAAGAATACATATTTTTGAAATCGTGTAGGAGTGGAGATGCCGACACGTTCCTCTGAAATTGTATGCCTAATCATGCAGTGTTTCTTTCTCTTTGTGGGGGAGAGGGCGTATTTCATTGAAAAAATATTAAAAGAGTGGTAAGCATCGAAGGAAATTATAAAAAAATTGAAGGTAAGTAAGTTGTTATTGATATACCACCCTTTTTTAAATTTAGCATCGCATTTACGTGTAGGTAGGTAGGTTTATTTTTTAAATATTTACTAATATGCATTAAGGATACCTTAAAATTATTTTATTCATAAATAAATAGGCTTTGCAGTGATAACCAAAATATCTTATGTGTTTAACATTCTGATTTGTATGGCTCTATAATTTTAAGTTAATAATATGGAGCGCCATGTGTTCCATAATTATTTCGTACGATATATAAAATATTTTGCAGGAAAAACTATATATAAGTAAAATTTACTACAATTTTGCATATATATTAAAAATAAAAGTTTTATATATATTGAATTTGGCACCATGCGAAGTTCGATATAAAACTTTTTTCGTTTAAAAAGTCCCCGAGCGATGGCGCTACCTTTCTTTATGATTTGTATAGTGTGTTGCATATACTTTATGAACGTATTCGAATTTAAAAAAAACATCTTTCGCTCACGTTTTTTTTTAGATAACGGCGGTTGGTTTGTAATTTATACAGCTGTAATTATACTGTTCATCGATATTAATAAAAGGTAGGTATTTTAAGTAATTATTCTTTTAGAGAAAGATGAGATTTTTGAAACATTGCTAAACGTAGCTTAAAATTAAGATATATACATTTTATTTTTAACGATACTTCTTGCATTGTTTTAAAATAAATATTATTTAGTAATCAATAAAATACAATTTTAAATCTTGTATCTATTAATTAAAAAAAATATTGGGTTATAGAAAACATCTTGATTTAAGAAAATTATTGCCTTATTTCAATA